TGAAAAGTCGCTAAGAAGAGGTGTCAGAATAAACAATAGTAATAATAGTTAGACTAGTGAATAATCATCCATCCATCCATCCATTTTCTTCCCCTTAATCCATTTCTGGGTCGGGGGGGGGGGGTGGCAGTCAGAGCTGCACCCAGTACACAGAGCATCAGCCCCTCACTGATCCTCCTGCAGGTGGTGAGTCCACCGGAGGGAATAATCAAAATAGTTCTATTGTGGAAATAAGTATCAATAAGGTCAAATTGTTCTAATAACTAAAGTAAAAAGGAATCAAATGGAGTCAGATTTTAGATGTTTCTGTTTTCCACATCTGTAGGAACTAGTGCAGATGTGTTTATAGAGAGTAGTATTAAAATGCAGACATAGAACGACAGGCGTTAACAAAATTTTAAATCTAAAAATAGCTCAAATATAACATTGCTCTTGATGCAGCCTCTGAGCTGCTCCATTGGAGAACAGGTTAAATGTTATTGTTTATTACAAACAGCTGATGTATTCACACATATTAAGTTTGGGACAACTCTTTAAACAGCTATAAGCAGCGGACAGAAGCCATGAATGTGCTTTTGTTTATTAAATAATTAATTTCATAGCCATATAATCGTAGAGAACGTTTTAAAATAGTTCTCTTCCTCCCGCTCCCTTACAGGCAACTTGATTTAGATTTATGTTTTTAATATTGGAGAACGACTGTGTTGTTTTTGGAATTGTCTGAAATACAACACATAAAAATAGTGATTTGCAGAACAAGAACCAGCCAATGAAAAATCGTCTATTGCCAATGCAATTGTTACAATTAGAACCACAACTATGACCAAATGCAATAAATGTTAAGGGTTCAGTCTGGGGGGACTGAACAACTGGTAAAATGGTTTAAAATGATAAAGTATGAGTATTTTAGTGTTTTAGTAGATGTTAAATAGTAGGAAAAAGTAGAATTTGATCATTGGTCATAAACAAACTTCGGAGTAAGAGTTAAAATGGTACCATACATTGTGATCCTTCTGATAGAGAAGCTAGATAGAGTTAGAATCAGAATTATTTACAGCCATTGAAAGTGATAGAACTCACAAATTGGGAATATGCTTTGGCTCAAGCTACAGCCGAGCTTTGGGAAAAAATAGCGTAAAACTAGAAATAGATAAATGCATCAACCATAGAGGCTTTCAAAAATAGAGATTATTTTTAGCCAAGGCTAATAGCAAACGGTAAAAGGACAATTTCCTTCATAATATGTCCAAAAGTATTTACTTCAAAAGTAGATAAAGTTCATACTTGTCAAATTCACTTGTTTCAAACATAGGTGAATGTTGACAATGAAAAAAGTTAATGAAATAGATTAATGAGATAGATTAGAACCAACACAGATTCAAAAACATTTGAAAGCAAACCACAGTATAGATAGATTTATTAGATAAAAACATATGTTTAAGAATAGGGCTCAATAAAAGCAAAATATGCAAACATATTTGTAAATAGATTAGAATAGTTTAAACTATAGTGAATAGTTTTAGTGCATACATTACAGACGAGGTTGAAGAAGAATCAGAATGACACAGCAGTGGTCATCAAATAGTATTGAAGGAATGGTAAAAATGTGGTTTGTTGTGTGTTGTTTGTTTTCTCTGTAATTAACTCTTCACAGATATCAAGCCGGAACTAAGCACAAGTATTGATGATAAACGACGATGTGGATTGTGACCTAATTTTTAATCAGGTCAAAAGAGGGAAACTGTTGTATTTATAAATACGTGACATTCTAAAACCATGTGTTTTATGACCTAGCTAACCTCTAAGTGGGAGGCCAGTCCTTCTTATTTTATTTTAGGTGTCTTCTTGTGCCAGCAACTGGACAACAGATTCTCCTGTTTGGATTTCAACCCCCTAGTCTTGGCCTGCTGACTTCTGCACTTTTCAACCTCACTCCATCAGGAGTCTGGCAGACGGAGGAAAAGGCTGGACCCTAGACCGGAAGCTGGCTGATAGGACACTCCCCTCCTTCCTGTTCTTTATATATGCTCTGGCTTGGGGAGACACAGGAGGATGAGACGAGGGCCAGAGAGGGACATGGATTAGCTTTTAAGAGCTCTCTTTTGTTGAATATTCTGTATCTGATTGTAAAGATAATTAAATGCAGATGTTAAACTTGGAGAATCTTTTTGTCTGATTTCTGTATCAAATTGTGGACACGTCAGTCAAAAGGAATTATTGGCTACAGTATTTATTTATTTGTAGTAATCTTTATTAGTAATCTTTATTTATATACCGCCTTTTTCACTGCAGATCTGGCCTACTTTTTAATTCATTTTGAAATGAAATGTGCCAACGCTTTATCAAATACATTGGAAATCTTGCCGTGTATTAGTGACCCCTTCCTATTTATAGGGGGCATTTCTTTATCCACGGGCCACAGAACAACGGCATATATACTGCTGCTGCAGGAGGTTACTGGGTCCGCGCTGAGTCTCTGCGCTGGTCTCTCCTATGGATCTATACGGGTCTGCGCTGGTGTCTCCCATATACGGGTCTGCGCTGGTCTCTCCTATGGATCTATACGGGTCTGCACTGGTCTCTCCCATGGATCTATACGGGTCTGCACTGGTCTCTCCCATATACGGGTCTGCACTAGTCTCTCCCATGGATCTATACTGGTCTGCACTGGTCTCTCCATACGGATCCGCGCTGGTCTCTCAAGTCTGGTCTATGCGGTCTCTCTTCGGTCCGCGCTGGTCTCTGCGCACCGGTCTCTCCAGTCAGGTCACTCCAGTCTATGCGGTCTCTCCTATAGGTCCGCGCTGGTTTCTGTGTGCTGGTCACTCCAGTCTCTCCTCGGGTCTGCATTGGTCTCAGCGCTGGTCCGCGCTGGATCTCCTCCCAGGGTCCAAAATATTTTGAGATTAATCTCAAAACATTTTGAGATTCATCTTTAAAATAATACATAATATATTTTTAAATTAAGCTCATAACATTTTGAGATTAATCTCATCATATTCTTAGATTAATCTCATAATTTTGCTAGTTCGACTTTATTATCATAATATTTCGACTTTTAAGTCAACATTTTATAACTTTATTCTCAGTCTGGTAAAAGAAGAAAAAAGGGTGACTTTTGCTCCGTGTAAAGGCCTGTTGCTGTTTCCTCTGCCGTCTGCACACGGCCCTGCAGTCCCTTATATGGGCATTAGTGGGCGGTTACTTATGCTAAGTACCTATGCTAATGAAGCACCTGGCACGCGCGCTGTACTTACGAGGAAATGGGATTCATCAATCTGAGAGAACAGCTGCGAACAATTCAGCGGCTTACGAGTGCGTTGATGAATCCCACGTGGGGACTTCTTAGAAATCTACTTAAGGACAACTTGAGAAGAAAGTTGAGTAGTTTCTTACGAAGTTATTCGTGAATGAGGCCCAATGGAACTGGACTTACTCAAAAGCTGATCTGGAAACACGTTATTCCCACGGTAAAAGACGTAACGCTGACCAATGTCTGTGAGTACAGTGACGCTAACACTGACCCCGGTCTGTGAGTACAGTGACGTTAACACGGACCCCTGTCTGTGAGTAGTGACGCTAACACGGATCCCTGTCTGTGAGTACAGTGACGCTAACACGGACCCCGGTCTGTGAGTACAGTGACGCTAACACGGACCCCGGTCTGTGAGTACAGTGACGCTAACACGGACCCAGGTCTGTGAGTACAGTGACGCTAACACGCCGTATACTTCTGTAAAATAAATAATTAGGGTCTAATTGTGTGATGTGACGGATTGTCATTGTTGTAAAAAGTTTATTCGTATGTCTGAAATGACCAAGTACCGGTGATAAACAACTCAGAGCGTGATGCTACGTCAGTGTGAGGGTGGGGGGAGGCGGGGGGAGGTGGGCTTACGGACAGAGGAGCAGACCTCAACTTTGAGTTGAGGTGACGTCACCTCTGTACAAGAGATGGCTATAATCTCACAAGTTTTGAGTGTTGTGTGGTGTTTCACACACATTATTATCACACATGTGCAGAGGATTGGACTGTGAAGCATAATATAGGACCTTTAACCCTTACATTATGGTGATGTCACACTTCTGGTGTATGGTCTGAAGTACACTTAGTGTATTTTGTTGTCTCCCTGTTGCAGTCATACATTGTACACACAAAAATATCCTAAATATTCTCTCTGGTCTCACTCTGGACTCACTCTGGACTCACTCTGGACTCACTCTGGACTCACTCTGGACTCTCAGATAAATCACAAACATGTTTTTAATCTTGTTTTTATTTAACTGATTGAAAGCGTTTGAGGTGATGCACCTCTCGTCCTGCAGGGGGCGCCTACTCCTCCGTCTGCAGCAGAGAAACACATTACAACACAGTGTGGACATAGCAGCAGTGACTCCATGTGTGCCAAAATGTCTGCTTCCAACAGTAACGGGGGTCGTCATAGCAATGGCTCCAAACAACAATTAGAACACATGGGAGATGTACGCCAAAACTGAATAAACCTGGAAGCATGGCTAACCACAATATCATTGGAATCATGGCTATTGACTTCATGGACAAAGCAGCACGGCTAACCACAGAGAGACCAGAGAGAAACCAGAGAGAGAGAGAGAGAGACCAGACAGAGACAACACAGAAACCAGAGAGAGAGACAAGAAAGAAACCAGAGCAAGACCAGAGAGAGACCAGAGAGAGACCAGAGAGAGACCAGAGAGGGACCAGAGAGAGACCAGAGAGAGACCAGAGAGGGACCAGAGAGAGACCAGAGAGGGACCAGAGAGGGACCAGAGAGAGACTAGAGAGGGACCAGAGAGGGACCAGAGAGAGACCAGACAGAGACAAGAGAGAAACCAGAGTGAGACCAGAGAGAGACCAGAGAGAGACCAGAGAGGGACCAGAGAGGGACCAGAGAGAGACCAGAGAGAGACCAGAGGGAGAAAAGATGATGTGGACAGAACCAGGTCTGAACTTGCACCTGTATAAGGCTTGTGGGCGGGGCTTATCCCTTGTTGCCCGGGAGATGGCCTGTTCCGATGCGGTCGATTGGAGGACTGGGCTTCCGTCGCGACGCCTCTGAGACTTTACTGTAGAAATAAAAGTTTATAGGTTTGTCATGATTTAAAGCTGGGGTCTGTAACTTTAGTCTCATCAATAACACATGTTTAAATCCCAGTCCAGTCCCGGTCCAGACCTGGTCTTGTGTGCCTCCATGCCGCCTCCTGACAGTCGGTCTAAGGGGGCGCTGTTTTCCCCAAATCCTCGTTTCTTCTTTGGATCCATAATGTCGTTCTCCTTCCTGTTCAGAGCGTCCAATCGCAACAGCTTCTGCGTTAGCCCCTCCTCCTTTTCAACATGGTTTAATCCTGATATGGTCTCTGGTACGGTCTCTGGTCTGAGGTCCGGAATGTCCATGGGCTGAAGGAGAGAGAGGACCATGTTATTAAAGCTATCTGCACATTCTCTCTCAAATAACCTGTTTGTGAGACCAACGAGAGAGACCAGAGAGATAAAGACCAGTGAAGGACCAGAGAGAAAGACTAAAGCAGGAGAGATCAGAGAGACCAGATAAATACCAGTACGATTCACAAGAGGGAAACCAGAACAGCTATGGGACATAGCTTTTATGGTTTGCTCTGGTAGATAGCTCGCTCATGGTTCAGGGACATGTGACCTCTCCACAGACAGTCGATTCCTTGGAGTGTTTTGATTGGCTGTCGCTCACAGCTGGGCTCCTGACTTCCTGTCTGTCGGCGAATCATATTTCTCGTGTGTGAACAGAAGCCGCAGCAGGAGCCGGATCTGAGGCTGGTCATGTGACACTCCCCTCATGTTGGTTTTAGCTCCGAGTGTTTGGAGACCAGCGGGAGTCGGGCTACTGAGGCAGAAGACCCAGACAAGCATCAGCACACGCACTTTAAAGCTGCGGTACATAACTTTTAGACCACAACATCATTAATCTGTAATAAAACGTCTCTGGTTCCTGGCTCTAAAACTGTTTTATCTATCACTAGTTTCCACTGGTCTGGTCCAGGTCCTGCTCCTGGTCTTACAAGGACCTGGGTATTCATCTGAACCACAAACTACAGACACCCTCTTCAAGAAGGAGGCCCCTGGACACAGCAGCAGGTGGAGGACAGTGGGGGACGGTGGGGGACGGTGGGGGACAGGGCTGCTGGACAAACATCTGTGTGGACCATGACTGTCGCCCCCTGCAGGACACTCTGCTGTGAGAGCAGCTGCAGGGACAGACTTATACTCACTTCTTTGTTAGATCAGATTTTTCAGATAGAAAAGTGAAAGAGAGAAGACCTCCCTCTCAGCCCAGTCAGATAGTGACACACGCACACACAGTCTCACACACACACACACCCACACACCTTGAGGCTCCTGAAGCCGAGGGTCATATGCAGGAAAGTGACGCTCAAAACCATCAACACAAAACTCTGCATCTGAAACACAAGAACACACTGCCCTTTTATAACCAGAGAAGAGAGAGACCTGAGAGAGACTACAGTGAGACCTGAGAGAGAGACTAGAGGGAGACCCGAGAGCAACCAGAGAGAGACTTGAGGGAGACCTGAAAGAGAGACCAGAGAAAGAGACCAGAAGGAGACTAAAGAGACCAAAGAGAGACCAGAGAGAGTAGAGAGAGACCAGAGAGAGACTGAAGAGAGACTGAAGAGAGACCAGAGAGAGACTGAAGAGAGACCAGAGAAGGACCAGTCTCAAACTCTTGAGGATTTTCTATGATAATTTGAGCCTGGATGTTGGCAGAATCCTTTGCTCTGATTGGTCCATGAGGCTGAAGATGTTACTAGTACAATTTAAAGCTACAGATTTAAAGATAAATATAATTAATACAGAAGTGTTCTCACCGTGTCTCTGTGGTGCTCTGCTCTGACAGGAGACCAGAGGTGCTTTAAGGCAGCTCTCAGCAAATCACAACAGGCCTCGGACACACCAGCCAATCACCAGAGAGAGACTAGAGATAGACCAGTGAGAGAGAGAGCCCAGAGAGAGACCAGTGAGAGACTAGTGCGAGAGAGACCAGAGAGAGAGACCACACCAGCCAATCACAGCAGTCACTGAGGCCCAAACCTGAAATTGTCAATTCAGAAACAAATTAAAGCTGCTAAACTCTATACAGATGACATTTAGAGCAGAGGACTTTACAAAGTTGTGGATTCACCAACAACAGCTCAGAGAATCAAACAGTTCAAACACAGTAAATGCATGTGGAGACATTGGTCGAAAGGGAGCGGGACTGAGGCTGTAGTTCCAGGACTGAGGCCGTAGATCCAGGACTGAGGCCGTAGACCCAGGACTGAGGCTGTCGATCCAGGACTGAGGCCGTAGACCCAGGACTGAGGTCGTAGACCCAGGACTGAGGCTGTAGATCCAGGACTGAGGCTGTAGTTCCAGGACTGAGGCTGTAGATCCAGGACTGAGGCTGTCGATCCAGGACTGAGGCTGCAGATCCAGGACTGAGGCTGTAGATCCAGGACTGAGGCTGTAGTTCCAGGACTGAGGCTGTCGATCCAGGACTGAGGCTGTTGATCCAGGACTGAGGCTGTAGATCCAGGACTGAGGCTGTAGATCCAGGACTGAGGCTGTAGTTCCAGGACTGAGGCCGTAGATCCAGGACTGAGGACCTGAAGACTTGGCCCAGACCTGGCTCAGTCCTAGTCCAGACCTGGTCCTGTGCAGATGTTAGCACTTGTGTTGAGTCATGATGAGGTGATGTGACCTGGAGCTGAGTTTGGTCCAATAGCGGTCGATGACATCATCAGAGTCAGTGTCAGGTTGACACTAAAGCTCATGTCTGTAACTTTATGTTAAACACTGTATATTTCTGACTGTTGTGTCAAACGTAAACTACGACCAATGAGGAGGCTGCAGAGGTGAGTGTGGGCGGGGCTAAACAGTGCTGTCAATAATGATGCTATTCCCAATTTTGTTTTATATGAGTTCATAAAAATGCTTATTACTACATACAAGTTGTATTATAATCGGTAATTTAATTGAAAACTTGAGCTCATTGATTCAGCTGAATTCAGGCCGTAAAAAGTGCTGAGTAGAGACTTAGCGTGACGCTGGCTCTCCTCCAATCACAGAACGAGCCTGCGTCCTCTAGCCTCTACAGCGCTGCTAAACACAGTAGTAAACGACACAACAGTGAGGAAGAGAGGAGGGAACTAAAGCGAAAAAATGATCAAGAAGAAATCAAGCCCGGGAGAACATAGTTAGCTTACATCGTATCCTCTGGAGAGACTTGTCTTGTGAGATTTCATAACACTTTTAAGCAACTTTTGTTAAAGTTAAACTCATCATTCTATAAATGTGCAGAAGCCTGTACTTTTCCACTACTTGTTTTGACTATCTCTGCTGGCACCGTGGCAGCTGCTGATTGGAGGACTTCATGCCTCCACTCTGTATAATACACTTGCATTCTGTCGTGTTTGTGTTCGTGCTGTCTCTACCATTGACAATAAAACATGTCTTCTGTCTGAATTAAAGACGCGATCCCAGACTTTGTCATCTTCTTCTGTCTATGGGAGAGACCTGCGGGAGCGGGACCGCCTCGGACTATCTACGCTCGGACCACATTCAGACGCGAAACTAGCGGTAATCTTTCAGTTATATATTGTGTTAGCAGTGCGTTGCTTTTGTACCATTTCATCAGTGATTGTTGTACAGCTTACAAGAGGTTGCACTAATGCTAATGTTTGCATATAGATCGCAAATAAAACTAGATGGCTCCGTGGGATGAGAGCGTAGGGGAAATGAGAAGCCTGTGAGCGAGTTGAGGGCGGTGCTAAACATTCAAACCTTGCAGAAACGGGTATAGTTCCTTTAAGGGCACAGGGTATGTCCATAGACTGTATTCAGATACACAATGTGTGACATCACCACCGTGAGTTTACAGCATGTTCCAAAAGTTTGTAACTACTGTAATGCTCTTATTTCTGCATCGCTGTGATGTACGACACCTTAAATCTGTGATATCTGACTCAGTTCAAAGGTCAGTAACGTTACATTTGAACTTAAATAGTGTTTTGTTTTGATCCTCTCCACCGCGACATCAGCAGGAGACACATCTGTCCAATGGTGTTGGTCCTTTCTGGTAGAAGACGGCTGAGGCTGAATTACTTGTTCAGTTCCTTGGGCTAAGCCTTAAAAGGCTCTACATTCTGTTTTCCATATTTTTTTGCAGTCCATCTTAAGCACATGTGTATACACCAGACTAAACTTTGAAATTAGAGCCATTTCTTGCATAGCGTTGATGTCACCTCTGTTGAAACGCTTGGATCTGTGCTCGTTCTGTAAACACAGAACTGTTTAGCTTTCACCGGTACATAATCATTTCAGATCTGAGAATAAACTTTTCAAACAATGACAAGTATTCGGCGAGTTGCTTTGTACTTACAGATCGAAGCTCTTTGTTAGGGATTTTATCTTGGGAATAAAACAGGTTTCCAGATCAGCTTTTGAGTAAGTCCAGTTCACGGTAAATAGTCTTTGGAGAAGTGTCTCTTTCAAAGACAGATGCCTGTGAGTCCAGCTACACACGCATTCATCGTCTTCGAGTCAAATTTACATAGCTACATCCAACGTGGAGCATCATGTCTCCAAGTTGACATGATACTAACACTTTTAGTTGCTAATCAAAAGCAGAACAATAACACAGAAGCTAACACATGTTGTGGTAGACAGGCTGTGTGCGCTGATTCGCTGTTTGGGTGTCTCTCTCCTGTCCATCACCTCCTGGAGGCGGGGTGTGAAAGCGTGCTTACGTAACAAAGTGAATCAGGTCGTTTCTGTGCCCCTCGAACGAAAGACAAAGATCGCTCTGTAACTAAAGCTTGAGGAAATTAATGAAAAAACTGCTCTGGGCAAAGAGCTGTGACGATGTTTAAACTGGAGAAAAGTCAAAAAGTGTAATATGGGACCTTTAAAGCAGAAGAAGCAGATTTCAGCATAAGTAAGAGCCAGTTTCCTTATATGGGCTTTTGTTCCGCTGCATTAGCTCCGCAGTAAAATCAGCCCAAAGAGTCATAACAACACGTCATTTATAAGCCTAAGTTATGGACCTCAGCTTTAATTTCTCTGAAGTGTGTGTTGCCAGGTTGTACGGTGAGGCAGCCCTTTGTCCTGGTGTTGTTACCGTAGTCATGGCGACGCAGAGGATAGCTCTGGTCCAATCAAAACAGTGACTCAGGAGGACGGAGGTTCAAGTGTTCGTCAGGTGTTGTTTTAACCTGGAGTCTCCACGTTCAACTAGTGGACTGGTCTCTCTCCCTTCGGTCTGGTAGTAAAGACACAGACACACATGGTTCTAACCACTGTTTTATTGCAGTGACATTTGTACCAAAAACAAACATTAAATGAAAAGTTAAAATCAGAGAGGCATCTTGTTCCCCTCCACAGAGATCTTCACTGCGTGTCCTGTTTTAGACGAGCGACGGATGTCCTGGAACCGACGCATCTGTTTGTCCACACGAGAGATTCCCTTCTTCACCGTGCCCTGAAGAGGAGAGAGGATGAGGTCAGCAGGAGGAGAAAGAGAGAGAGGAGGTCAGCAGGAGGAGAGAGAGGTCAGCAGGAGGAGAGAGAGCGGATGATATCAGCAGGAGGAGAGAGAGCGGATGATGTCAGCAGGAGGAGAGAGAGGTGATGTCAGCAGGAGGAGAGAGAGGTGATGTCAGCAGGAGGAGAGAAGGTGATGTCAGCAGGAGGAGAGAGAGGATGAGGTCCGCAGGAGAGGATGAGGTCCGCAGGAGGAGAGAGAGGTGATGTCAGCAGGAGGAGAGAAGGTGATGTCAGCAGGAGGCGAGAGAGGATGATGTCAGCAGGAGGAGAGAAGGTGATGTCAGCAGGAGGAGAGAAGGTGATGTCAGCAGGAGGAGAGAGAGGATGATGTCAGCAGGAGGAGAGAGAGGATGATGTCAGCAGGAGGAGAGAGGATGATGTCAGCAGGAGGAGAGAGAGGATGATGTCAGCAGGAGGAGAGAGAGGATGATGTCAGCAGGAGGAGAGAGAGGATGATGTCAGCAGGAGGAGAGAGAGGATGATGTCAGCAGGAGGAGAGAGAGGGTGAGGTCAGCAGGAGGAGAGAGAGGTGATGTCAGCAGGAGGAGAGAGAGGGTGAGGTCAGCAGGAGGAGAGAGAGGGATGATGTCCGCAGGAGGAGAGAGAGAGTGATGTCAGCAGGAGGAGAGAAGGTGATGTCAGCAGGAGGAGAGAGAGGATGAGGTCCGCAGGAGGAGAGAGAGGATGAGGTCCGCAGGAGGAGAGAGAGGTGATGTCAGCAGGAGGAGAGAAGGTGATGTCAGCAGGAGGCGAGAGAGGATGATGTCAGCAGGAGGAGAGAAGGTGATGTCAGCAGGAGGAGAGAAGGTGATGTCAGCAGGAGGAGAGAGAGGATGATGTCAGCAGGAGGAGAGAGAGGATGATGTCAGCAGGAGGAGAGAGGATGATGTCAGCAGGAGGAGAGAGAGGATGATGTCAGCAGGAGGAGAGAGAGGATGATGTCAGCAGGAGGAGAGAGAGGATGATGTCAGCAGGAGGAGAGAGAGGATGATGTCAGCAGGAGGAGAGAGAGGGTGAGGTCAGCAGGAGGAGAGAGAGGTGATGTCAGCAGGAGGAGAGAGAGGGTGAGGTCAGCAGGAGGAGAGAGAGGATGATGTCAGCAGGAGGCGAGAGAGTAGGGCTGGGCGATATGGCAAAAAAAAAAAATCTCCGATTTTTTCACACCAAATCCGATTTTCGATTTTAATCGATTTATTTTTTATTTAAAAACAAACTACAACTGACAAAGAAATAGATTTTCCTTTATGCAGTTTAATCTAAATCCCCATGGAGCATAAGTGTAACAGGAATTAAGCCTTAAAACATGCTTGTAAACGAGATGGCTCTGCCATTGTAAACAGTGAAAATGTAGCTTAACAGTTTTATAATAACTTCACTTACAATGACACTATGCACCTTCAAAATAACTTAAATCACACAAACAAGGCCCATCGCAAATATATCAATCCTATTAAACACATGCATTATTTACATGAAATATCACATTTTTAAAACTGATTACTCAAAATAGAAATGTTGTAACAGACGGTCTTTTCCAAAAGCCTCCTCGGGTTTTCATGCTTGTTCTTTCAACTGTGCCTGAGTAACTGTGCTGTAGTACAACGCTCGGTCCAGCTGGTGGCGCTAATACTAACTTCAGTGACTCCCGCATTGTGCGAGCTTCCTGTTTACATTCTGATGCTGTAGCTAACAGCTACTGTAGCAGCTACTGTAGCAGCTACTGTAGCTAACAGCTACTGTAGCAGCTACTGTAGCAGCTACTGTAGCTAACAGCTACTGTAGCAGCTACTGTAGCTAACAGCTACTGTAGCAGCTACTGTAGCTAACAGCTACTGTAGCAGCTACTGTAGCTAGCAGCTACTGTAGCTAGCAGCTACTGTAGCTAACAGCTACTGTAGCAGCTACTGTAGCTAACAGCTACTGTAGCAGCTACTGTAGCTAACAGCTACTGTAGCAGCTACTGTAGCAGCTACTGTAGCTAACAGCTACTGTAGCAGCTACTGTAGCTAACAGCTACTGTAGCAGCTACTGTAGCTAACAGCTACTGTAGCAGCTACTGTAGCTAACAGCTACTGTAGCTAACAGCTACTGTAGCTAGCAGCTACTGTAGCTAACAGCTACTGTAGCTAACAGCTACTGTAGCAGCTACTGTAGCTAACAGCTACTGTAGCAGCTACTGTAGCTAACAGCTACTGTAGCAGCTACTGTAGCTAACAGCTACTGTAGCAGCTACTGTAGCTAGCAGACAGCGGGGAACACAGTGTTTGTATCAGAGCAATGAGAGCAATGTGTGAGACGTGTCTTTCCCCAAAGTGCAGCGGCTCAGTGGGACACGAGTGTGTGCGCGCCACGGACACGGGAGTGCGCTTTGGAATAACGAGCGTGAGAGAGCGTGAAAGATGTGGCGTACGAACATGGCGTACGAACATAGCGACCGGAGCCTGCGTGCGTGTGTGTGTGTGTTCTGGCGATTTAAATAAAGTCTGATTCTTGAACGTTTGAAGTGTTATTGCAACAGCACCAACTGTGAGAGCGAGCATAAGGCCAGAGGGAGACTGTTAGCATTAGGTTAGCTTCAAAATGACTGCTCAACACCATAGACCCGCGGTTAGCGCGTTAGCGCTGTAGTTCTGCGATGGAGAAAATAAAAATCGAATTTTTAAAAAAAGAAATCGCTCTAAACGTAAAACTCGAATTAATGATTAAAATCGATTAATCGCCCAGCCCTACGAGAGAGGATGATGTCAGCAGGAGGAGAGAGAGAGGATGAGGTCAGCAGGAGGAGAGAGAGGATGAGGTCAGCAGGAGGAGAGAGAGAGGATGATGTCAGCAGGAGGAGAGAGAGAGGATGATGTCAGCAGGAGGAGAGAGAGAGGATGATGTCAGCAGGAGGAGAGAGAGAGGATGATGTCAGCAGGAGGAGAGAGAGAAGATGATGTCAGCAGGAGGAGAGAGAGAGGATGATGTCAGCAGGAGGAGAGAGAGGATAATGTCCGCAGGAGGAGAGAGAGGATGAGGTCAGCAGGAGGCGAGAGAGGATGATGTCAGCAGGAGGAGAGAGAGGATGAGGTCAGCAGGAGGAGAGAGAGGATGAGGTCAGCAGGAGGAGAGAGAGGATGATGTCAGCAGGAGGAGAGAGAGAGGATGATGTCAGCAGGAGGAGAGAGAGAGGATGATGTCAGCAGGAGGAGAGAGAGAGATGATGTCAGCAGGAGGAGAGAGAGAGGATGATGTCAGCAGGAGGAGAGAGAGAGGATGATGTCAGCAGGAGGAGAGAGAGAGGATGATGTCAGCAGGAGGAGAGAGAGAGGATGAGGTCAGCAGGAGGAGAGAGAGGATGATGTCAGCAGGAGGAGAGAGAGGATGATGTCAGCAGGAGGAGAGAGAGGATGATGTCAGCAGGAGGAGAGAGAGCGGATGATGTCAGCAGGAGGAGAGAGAGGATGATGTCAGCAGGAGGAGAGAGAGAGGATGATGTCAGCAGGAGGAGAGAGCGGATGATGTCAGCAGGAGGAGAGAGAGCGGATGATGTCAGCAGGAGGAGAGAGAGAGGATGATGTCAGCAGGAGGAGAGAGAGAGGATGATGTCAGCAGGAGGAGAGAGAGAGGATGATGTCAGCAGGAGGAGAGAGAGAGGATGATGTCAGCAGGAGGAGAGAGAGCGGATGATGTCAGCAGGAGGAGAGAGACGATGATGTCAGCAGGAGGAGAGAGAGGATGATGTCAGCAGGAGGAGAGAGAGCGGATGATGTCAGCAGGAGGAGAGAGAGCGGATGATGTCAGCAGGAGGAGAGAGAGGATGATGTCAGCAGGAGGAGAGAGAGGATGAGGTCAGCAGGAGGAGGGAGAGGATGATGTCAGGAGGAGAGATGACATCAGCAGGAGGAGAGAGAGAGGAAGTCAGCAGAAGGAGAGAAAGGGGAGAGAGGAGAGCCTTTCTTTACCAGGCCCTGAGAAGGAGTTCAGGAGGAGGAGTTTAATGTTTCCGAGTTAAATCTGTCCTAAAGTCACATGATGCAGTTATTCAGAGAGGGTTTCTCACAACAAAGATCACACTCTAGAGCAACACCACACGCTGCAGCAGCCGCATCAGTCCAAAGCAGACGTTTGACCTGGAGCTCAGAACTGAAACACCCACACGCCTCTCCCAAACCTGCTTCAAAGATAATCTATCCAAAAACTATTTATCCACAAACTCAACACAAAACTAGTCTATGGCTCAGGTCTGGATTCACAAATATAAACACCGGGATCACAAACCAGAGAGACCAGAGAGAGACACCAGAGAGGGAGACACCAGAGAGGGAGAGAGAGACACCAAAGAGGCACCAGAGAGAGCAAGACCAGAGAAGGACTAGAGAGACACCAGCAAGAGGGAGACACCAGAAAGAGACACACATTTTTAGGCCCAAAATGGTGAGTGTGACACACACACTAGAGTTTATTTTTACATGTGAGTCAAAAGGAGCCAGAGACTTCAGCATGAGCACTTCCCCGCTAGCATCCTTCATTGAGCTAGCATGTTAGCATTGTCCATAGTCATGCTGTAAACACACCAAAGGCTACACATGGCTGGAGGCTCAGTCCATGCAGGCCTTACAGTGCAGTACCCTGTGTGTCCTGAGGGGGCGCCGTCACAGGGGCATGCGGTTGCCCTCGATGCTGATCTTCACTGCCCCCTGTGGACGCTTCTGTTTCCTCTCCTCAGCAAAACGACGCTTGTGTTTCTCCAACAGACTGAGGCCTTTCCTCATGAACTACACACAGTCATCATTCAGCCAACTCTAGCTCAACCCAAGCTCAGGTCATCGACCCTTGGTCTCAACTAACCCTCTGTCTCAATGTTTGGACACCCCTGGTTTAGACTCTGGAGCCACAGACTGAGCCTGAGTCAAGACTCGAGAGGGACCAGGAATATAACCTACGGCCTCAGTCTCAGGTCTAGGGCCTTAGTCTTGGGTCTTGGGTCTAGGGCCTCAGTCCCAGGTCTATGAGTTCTTACATAAAACATACATATTTGGCACTGACCCGAGTCGAGTCCCCCTCCACGTTCCACTTGGGTCGCACCACGTAGTCCTTGTTGGAGGGCATGGGCACCCGGGCGCGGGCACAGAAGCCCGGGTCTCCTGGTCTAAGGGCTCTGGGGAAGACCACAGGGACAGTTCAGGTTCAGGCAAACTCAGACTTTATCAAGGCCTAAATATAAAACTCTGTATGTCATTATCTCAACTGGATCTTGTGGTAAAGAGGGAACAGCATCTGCATTCAGAGCTCTACTCCACTCCCTCACCTATAGGTATGAGGGAGCAGCGTATGCGGTCAGAGCTCTAACCCCCTCCCTCTGCTCCGTCAAAGGACAAGATCGCAGATACAAGCACCCCACACGGGTTAGAGCCGCTGCTCCCATAGAGATAGAAGACCCAGAACACAGAGGGACTGTGTCTCAGATTCCCCCAGATGAGCTGGAGTCTGATTCTGTAAACGCAGGTCACTCACTTCTCTTCACCAGTGAGCTGCTTCTCCAGGTCTCGACGCGGCGTCTGCCCTCCAGAGCTGAAACACACACACACACACACAAACACACACACACACACAGACAGACAGACAGACAGACACACAGGTTACACAGAGGTCAACAGTCCTTGTGCCGTTATCGAGCAGCAGTCGTTAGAGTTCAGAGCAGAAAAAACAAATTTCTCTGAAGCTTAGTTCATCATCATCATCAAGAACCAGAGACTGTAGTGTGTGACATCAACACGGTGTTAGCTTTAACACAGAAGCTAGCTGGAGCCAATTTCCTTGAACTCGTAGGGAAATGTTAAGACACACACACACACACAGCACTGGGGACAACCACTGCTATAGCCGCAGCTGCCCTAGGATAGCTAGAGGGCGAAAGGCTGTTGATATGTGCCATGGGCCCCTCTGACCACCAAACAGTCAAAGTGTCTGTGGCTCCTTGTGTTACAAAGGTCTCCCATCACGAGCCCTGCCCTGCTTAGCTCAGGCAGGACCAGGCTTCACATGCAGAGGGCGCCACAAACAAACGGCCAAAACTCAATCAGAAGAAAACATCTCAGTCAAGAGAATCCTTTAAAAACAAGCATCACAATTTCAGACGGACCATGTTAGGCTCTGCACTCTGCCCCCTGGTGTGATGTCACAGGGGGCGGGGCATGCAGCTGGGACCTGATTGGTGGAGAGAAGACGTCCGTTTCCAAAGCTCTCTCAACCTTCTGTGGCTGACTGAGGAGTCCACAAGAGAGAGTTACAACCTGTGTGTGTTTCCGTGTGTGTGTTTCCAAGTCTCCATCACTTGTGTTTTGATGACTTTGTTAGAGGTCGAGCGAGTGAACTAGAGTAGGGTTGGTGGAAATAGGGCTGTAGTGTAGCATTAATCCTGTTTGTACCCAAGTCCCCATCTTTGATCTCTGTGATGGTATATTAGTCCCATCTGATCTGTACCTGAGTCTCTGTGATGGTATATTAGTCCCATCTGGTCTGTACCGGAGTCTCTGTGATGGTATATTAGTCCCATCTGATCTGTACCTGAGTCTCTGTGATGGTATATTAGTCCCATCTGATCTGTACCTGAGTCTCTGTGATGGTATATTAGTCCCATCTGATCTGTACCTGAGTCTCTGTGATGGTATATTAGTCCCATCTGATCTGTACCTGAGTCTCTGTGATAGTATATTAGTCCCATCTGATCTGTACCTGAGTCTCTGTGATGGTATATTAGTCCCACCTGGTCTGTACCCGAGTCTCTGTGATGGTATATTAGTCCCATCTGATCTGTACCTGAGTCTCTGTGATGGTATATTAGTCCCATCTGGTCTGTACCTGAGTCTCTGTGATGGTATATTAGTCCCATCTGGTCTGTACCTGAGTCTCTGTGATGGTATATTAGTCCCATCTGGTCTGTACCTGAGTCTCCGTTTCTGGGGCATCTGCTGGTCCAGGTCTCTCTGCTGTCGTTCTTCTCTCGTCATCCCTTTGTAGTTTGATGTGAGGCCAAAGATTGGACGAGACCATTCATCTGGAGAGAGACCAGAGAGAGAGACCATAAGAGACCAGAGAGGGACCAGAGAGGGACCAGAGAGAGACCAGAGAGAGACCAGGGGGAGTGTGTCTCACTGATGAGCTTGAGGGCCAGGTCCTTGTTGTTCCTAGATTCTTTTGGATGTTTGTAGAGAAACATCACAGCTCGACCGATTCCACTGTGTTTCAGAGTCTCCTGACTCACACTGGGCAGCTGTAAGAACACAGGTACAGGTGTGACACAGACACAGGTGTAACTAGGGATGTCCCGATGACTAACTTTTTCCTTAAAATCCGATCTCGAGTCGCAATCCAATGCTTTTGATAATTGGTGTTGTAAATTAGAAAAGTATATTTTCAGCAGCTAGACTCAATATTTTACAGACTGATTCAATTGATATGTAGTAACTGTTGTAATTGTTTAAATGAAAAATCTAAGAAGTTAATCAGCCTCAGTTTATTCCTTCAGACAAACGTAAGAAATAAAACACTCTTGGTTGGTACAGGAAAAAAGCATCAAATATTCACATTTATCTAAACAGTGTGACCGCTGTATGGGACCAACGAGGCTTTAAATGATAAGGATCACACCAGTGTAAAGCAAAGGGACACACTCTGAACTCCAAATATCCACAGTAAAACTTTTAGCTGAATATTTCCTTCGGTGGGAATGTTACCGAGCTGTAAAGATCAAGTGAGTGGATTAGCCAGTCAAAAAATATTGTCCTGATCTCGAGATCGGGACATCCCTAGGTGTAACACAGGTGTATACAGGTGTAAGGACCTCGTGTAGGATTCGCAGCAGCTCCTCTCGGATCCTCAGAGCTGGCAGACTCTTGTCGGGCAGAGGACTGATCCACTCTTTAATGGCCGACATCACTCCACTGTCAATGAACGTCTCCTTTAAGTCCTGCCTGCACAACAGACATCACACTCAGTATCTGTTACATAAAGACCAGAGGGAGACCAGAGAGAGACCAGAGAGTAAGACCAGCGAAAGAGAGGAAGACCAGATAGAGCCAAGAGAGACCAGAGAGAAAGAGAGAGTAAGACCAGCGAGAGACCTGAGACAGACCAGAGAGTGAGACCAGAGAGAGGGAGACTGAGCCCAAAGAGAGGGAGACTGAGCCCAGAGAGACAGAGTAAGACCACAGAGATTTACTTCTTCAGATGCATGACGACTGTGGGCAGCAGTGTAAGTTTCTTCAGAGCAGGTTTCTTCTGACTGTTGAGCGTCCTATCCTCCTGAAACACATCCTGCTTTTAGAATTGTACATGTTACATTCAAGAGGTTCTCCAACGAGAGAGATTCTACTCCCCTGTGGTCGCTCTGGGTACTGCATAACTGGCCTGCCTCCTGTGGTTTCTCTGGGTACTGCATCACTTGCCTGTGCCTCCTGTGGTCTCTCTAGGTACGGCATCACTGTACTCTGCCTCCTGTGGTCTCTCTGGGTACTGCATCACTTACCTCTTCCCCCTGTGGTCTCTCTGGGTACTGCACTGACCTTTTCCCCCAGTGGTCTCTCTGGGTACTGCACTGACCTCTGCCGCCTCGGTCATCTTGTTGATCATGGCGCTGACCACGTCGTCGGCGTCGCTGATGAAAGTCCCGCCTCCATCGCGATGTTTCCTCCGTTTACTGTTCATGGCTTTTCTCTTTGCCAACATGATGTCAAAGTCTGACATGTGACTGGTGCTGGACACAGAAATGCACTAATGAGACCAGAGGGAAACCAGAGAGAGAGACCAGAGAGAAAGACCAGAGAGAGAGAGAGAGAGACCATGTTGAGAACAGATAAGTCCAACAGCAGATAGTGTGAATTGAGGGTTAGTTTAAAGCAGAATACTGACTCTATGGCTCCGCGCTCCACTCCCTCATCAGAGTCTGACTCCTCCTGCTGCTGCTCCTGCTGAGGAGCCTCGTTCTCCTGCTCCAGATCCTCCTGGTTAAAGCCCTGCACACCACACACACACAAGTTACAGGGGCCACAATTCCATATCATATCCATATAATAAGTATTGTCACACTGATATATTCAGATTCATGTCCCTAATATTCATTACAAACACTAGAAAGGGATTCAGAACATCGTTTTATTTTCTGATTATTTAAGTCTGGTGTCTAACCACACCACAGAGACCATGTGGACAAACACATCTGACAGGTACTAGGAGGACAAACACATGACACAAACAAATACATCTGTTGCTGCCCTACATACGTTCTCTGGTCTGTCGTGTCCTCTACACTTCCCCCATAGACTACATTCATAAACTGAGAGGTTAGGTGAGCCCAGGCCTCTCTCCTGGTTTGTGTGTGAGACCAGGTGAGCCCAGGCCTCTCTCCTGGTTTATGTGTGAGACTAGAGGGCTGTTTCCACGGGCCCGACTCTACTCGCCTCAACTCGACTCGGCACGACTCGACTCGGTTTGAGAGCGTTTCCATCGGCCCTGTGTATCTATGGCAACGTGTTACCTAAGGGGTAGTGATGATCGGCCCGAAAGCCGCGGTCAACCCGCAGTTTCGGGCGGGTTGGATGCCTCAAAAATATGAGTCATGTCGGGTGCGGGTGGGTTGGGTCATAAAGCTCCTGATCCCTATATATAATTATATAATTAAATTTAACAGGGAGGCTGTTAAACCAAAAAAATCACAAACACCCGTAAGAATGCCACCTTCCTGACTCCTGCTTTAAAACCCTCAAAATGCTCCAGCCATAGCTCGACCCCGAAGAGAGACGTGTGATCCACACAGAGGCGCGTAGACTGATGACACTGTGGGCATCCCAGGCCTTCTAAGCCGGCCGCGGCGCCAGGTATAGGCCTGGGTAGTTTTTACCAGTTTTTATCTTGGCCTACTCAAATTTGTTCCTTGCCTCTCAAGTCATTTGCCTTTTGTATTAAAAGACATAATTCAAATATTGTTATTTCTATACACACACTATTGCTAAAATGTTGCGTTCTAATGTTTTTAGAAAATGTAACCGCCTGAGCGTCATCAGGTTCGTTGCTTCAAATATAGTTCTGTTTATTGGCTGAACAATTTTGTCCAATGAGCTGCATGATCATATCAAACATCCCGAAACCCATGCGCGAAGCTCGTTCCCCCGAGAACAGCATGCTATTCCTCCTCTTAAAGATTGACATTCACAACGGAGTAGCCTTTTTAATTTTAGTTTTAAGAAAGTTCAGCGTGAACTTGGTGAGGTAGATTAGCCAGAGGCCCGGGCCCGTAGGTTCCAGAGGAGGAGAGCGCGGTCAGGCCAGGCTCGCCTCGCACTGATGAGGGAAACTCCAGGCCTGTGTGAGACACACTGTGGGCCTCATGTATGAAACCTGCGTACGGCCAAATCAGGGTAAATGAGGCGTACGCATTTAACAATCTGGACGTGAGCGTACAATACGCAAAAAATATACGCCAGGTCTGGAGGTGGTGTAAATCTATACGCTGATCTCAACCTTCGGCACAACACGCATGAAATTTAAGATATGGACAATAATAAACATATTCCCTCTGGCAAAATTATAAGCTGTGTTTTCATTGAGGATCATGTTTCAAAATTTGAATTTGCGCATCAGAAAAAGTCTAATGGAAACACGCAAACTTTGAATAAATCACAGCTCATGATGAGGACCCTCTATTAAATCTGACTTGTGTGTGTAGTATTTTGATCTGCATGTTTTTTAATTGTGAAGTGCTTTGTGATCCTGGACAGTGAAAGGGTCTATACAAATACACTTTACACGACAGGGATGTGTGACCCAGCTATTGCTGTGGCAGGCTCTGCGCTGCGTAATTACACACGGCTGTCTGTGTTTCCTCATTCACATCTAAAGCAATGTGTTTTTCCATTAGATTTGCCTCACACAGATACACACCCCAGCACCGATGGACTATTGCTCACTCCAAATGTCTCACTGCCCTGTCCAGAGTGCGCAGCGAGTGCCGTGAGAGGTCGGCCACATAACTCCTCAAATGTGCTGTCATTCAGAAGTTTCTCTCTCAAGTGTACAGCGCTTCAATGCGCACTTCTACCCCGAGCCAGGCTGCGTCCAAGACGCTGCAGACACTTTGAATATGAATATGAATTCATTCATTCATTCAATCTATATTTATTCACTTCTACAATTCAAGAGAGATTTTTATAATGTATCAAAATATTTTGGCAAATTTGTTCAAAACACAGCTGAATATATAGCTTCTATTTATTTTTAGTCTTTTTGGCCGACTTCCTGCTGACCTGTTGCAAAGATGGGGCGTGAAACAGGCGATTGCTGCACAATTCTAGGCGTGACTTCCATAAATACGTTCGTTTTCAGCCGCGGCATTTATCAACACCCGCAGCTGCGTACGCTCAGATCTGTGCGGATCTCACGTTCATAAATCCCACGTTGGATCTTGTGTAAATGGAATATACACCCAAAATGTACACCTTTTTCTACGCAAGTTTCCTAAATGAGGGCCTGTGTGTTTGTATGTGTGTGCTTGAGTGCGTGTGCGTGCGTGCGTTTGAACCATATTGTTTGAAACCTAAATTCCAACTACCCCTTGTAGTTTGCGAGCGAATTTGGCCTATACCTTTATTATATATATATTTATTATTTACAGTCTATTGTAATTACACAGGCTACAGATGTTACGCGTGCTTAGCCAAAATAATATTGTGTAACATTCAAAATAGATTGAGTGAATATTCCCTTTTCCTCATTGTGGTGGTTTGCGGAGGAGAGAGCAGAGAGAAGTTTGGCAGGGGAGGAGCCGTGTGGAGTTAAAACAAATTTTTTACAGCTTGCTAAATTATTTGAAAGCATCTTCATTATGAATGTTATATTTATGTATTTATTATAAATGTTAGAGATGCCAGAGAAAAGGCGTCTGCTTTTTGCTGACATCAGCAGCGTTCATCACCAGCGTTCGCCGACGTTGCTGGGGTTACAGTATCTGCTCGGCCCGACTAGAGCCAGGTCTAAAGCCGTTACCAAAAAAGTAACGGGTCGCGGCTAAAGCGAGCCGGTGGAAACGTCCGCAAACCGGGGAGAGTCGAGTCGAGTAGAGTCGGGCCCGTGGAAACGACCCATACGTGAGCCCAGGCCTCTCTCCTGGTTTGTGCGTGAGGCCAGGTGAGTCCAGGCCTCAGAGTGACGGTAACTCACGGTGAACTCCTCCTCCTCGTCTCCAGATTCTCCAAAGATGTCAGCGATCATCTTCCTGAAAACAAATTATACAGGAATCATTTTACAAGGAACCACAGCGAGACAGAGAGAAACCGGAGAGAGAAAGAGACCGAGAGAGAACAGAGAGAGACATCCATCACCAACAGTTGTACTCACTCCTCGGCATCCTCCTCCTCGCTGTCGCTCCCAAACAGAGCCTTCTCGTCCTTCTGCGCCTCCTCTTTGGGCTCGTCCTCCTCGCTGGCAGACCCCAGCTCCCGCAATTTGGCTAAAGTCTGGTCTGGTCCAGAGGAGGAACCAGAGTCTGAGTCCTCTCCGTCCGACACAGCACCACTGCGCTTCACTGGAGACACTAACCACAGGAGAATCCACATGTTTAATGGAGTAAGAGATGACCAGGAGGAGCAGCACCATCTAGTGGCAGAAGTGGGAAATGACTAGAGATCGACATAGACTTAAATATATATATAATATGTATAGAGAGACCAGGGCGATAACAGAGACCAAAGAAAGACCTGACAAACACGAGAGACCAGAGTGAGAAAGACCTGTGAGACATAAAGACCAGAAAGAGTGACCAGAGGGGATGTTCCTGATAGTATAGGTGTTTCCTGCAGGATCTCACCTGGTTTGTCTGTTTTGTCTTCGTCCTCGTCTTCACTGTCCGACAAAATGGCTTTCTTCCTTTTGACTGAAAATCATAATATTTGGAATTAAGTTAATGAGAAAAGAGAGACCAGACAGAGACCTGAGTGAGATACTAAAGATCAGAGCGGGAAAGACCAGAGAGCCCAAAAAAATAGACCAATGTCTTGTCACCTGGTTTGTCCTCTTCGTCGTCCTTCTGTCCTCCATCTTGTTCCGTGTCACTCTTAGCCTTCGTCCTCTCCCCCTCTTCTTCCTCACTGTCCGACTGCATCACCCCCTTCCACCTGCCTCCCCCCCCCCCTCCTCCCTCACCCTTCGCCTCGTCCCCCTCCTCCTCAGAGTCCAACTGTCTCTTCCTCTTCCTCACTTCTCCCTCAGATTCAGAATCAGACCCCCTCTTGTCCCCTCCCTCCTGGTCAGACCCTCTGCTCCTGGGGGAACTCGACGGCTCCCCCTCTTGGTCAGATTTCTGTCGTTTCGCTGGCGGCTCCTCGTCATCATCACTCCTGCTCATTTTGGTTATAGGAGATTTCACTGCTCGGTCTCCGTCTTCATCATTGTCACTGTTCTCAACCCCCTCCTTCGTGTGGCTTCTGTTATCGTTTGTTGCCGTGGTTTCGTCATCGCTCTCGCTAATGCCGTTTCGATGTTTGGCCGGACTCTCTGCGTCGCTCTGGTCCCTGTGTTGTTTCCTGGAGCTCTCGTCGTCGCTGCTATCATCGTGTGGTTTGGCGGGACTGTCGTTGTCGCTGTCCTGTCTCTGTGCGGGCCGGTCCTCGTCACTGCTGTCGTCCCGCTCCTTTGCTGGACTCTCGATATCGCTGTGGTCGTGTTGTGGTTTCGTGGGGCTCTCGTCATCGCTGCTGTCGTCTTTGCGTCCTTTCACAGGGCTCTCGTCGTCGCTATCCTCGTCCTTTGGAGCCTCTGCGTCTGAATCGCTCATGGCTCCGCTGGTGTCCATAGGCTGTGGGGCCTCGTTGTTACTGCCCTCGTCCTGGAAAACAGAAATAATGAAATGTTTAAGAAACTCAGATCAGGTCCAGCGGCTGTAATGAATAAGAGGATAGAACACTCCCACAGATCAATAACATAATGTATTTGACCCACCGTCTGTATATTAGACGTACAATGCTAACACAGACTGTATACAGACGTACAATGCTCACACAGACTGTATACAGACGTACAATGCTCACACAGACTGTATACAGACGTACAATGCTCACACAGACTGTATACAGACAGACAATGCTCACACAGACTGTATACAGACAGACAATGCTCACACAGACTGTATACAGACAGACAATGCTCACACAGACTGTATACAGACAGACAATGCTCACACAGACTGTATACAGACAGACAATGCTCACACAGACTGTATACAGACAGACAATGCTCACACAGACTGTATACAGACAGACAATGCTCACACAGACTGTATACAGACAGACAATGCTCACACAGACTGTAAACAGACGTACAATGCTCACACAGACTGTAAACAGACGTACAATGCTCACACAGACTGTAAACAGACGTACAATGCTCACACAGACTGTAAACAGACGTACAATGCTCACACAGACTGTAAACAGACGTACAATGCTCACACAGACTGTAAACAGACGTACAATGCTAACACAGACGCAGAGAGACACACCTCGGACTGGTGCCCGTCGCTCCGCTCGTCTTCAGCCTCTGATGTCGGATGTTCGTCCTGCACTGGAGTTCCACCTCCATCGTCTGAAAGACAGGGAGAAAATGTTGAACTAAAATATTGGAGACCAGAGAGCGAGAGACCTGAGACACCAGAGATATAAATACAATCACATTATTATAGACTTTTGAAATGTCAACATCCATTTTCCAGTCACTCTTCCGAGGAAACGGACTGAGGAACGTGGACTGATCCGACCTCGTATTTTCAGTCATTACCCAAAGCTCATGACCAGAGGAGAGGAAGAGCTCTGACTGCAGTCGCTGCTCCCTCCACAATGTGCATTCTTGTTATGTAATCGGTTAGTCTTCGGTTTCACCTGCAGCAAAACAACATTCCTCCCGCTTCAGGATCCAGTCTGAACCCGGACCATAGACCCTGAAATGCTCCTAATTTAACAAGAGAGACAACAGAGAGAGAGAGACCAGAGAGAGAGAGAGACCAGAGAGAGAGAGACCAGAGAGAGAGAGAGAGAGAGACCAGAGAGAGATGAGAGACCAGAGAGAGAGAGAGAGAGACCAGAGAGAGAGAGAGAGAGAGAGACCAGAGAGAGAGAGAGAGAGACCAGAGAGAGATGAGAGAGAGAGACCAGGAGAGAAGAGAGACCACAGAGAGAGAGAGAGAGACCAGAGAGAGATGAGAGAGAGAGAGAGAGAGAGACCAGAGAGAGAGAGAGACCAGAGAGAGAGAGAGAGAGACCAGAGAGAATGAGAGACCAGAGAGAGAGAGAGACCAGAGAGAGAGAGAGAGAGAGACCAGAGAGAGAGAGAGAGAGACCAGAGAGAATGAGAGACCAGAGAGAGAGAGAGACCAGAGAGAGAGAGAGACCAGAGAGAATGAGAGACCAGAGAGAGAGAGAGAGACCAGAGAGAGAGAGAGAGACCAGAGAGAATGAGAGACCAGAGAGAGAGAGAGACCAGAGAGAGAGAGAGAGAGACCAGAGAGAATGAGAGACCAGAGAGAGAGAGAGACCAGAGAGAGAGAGAGAGAGACCAGAGAGACCGCGCGGCTCGCACATAAACACTCGCACTTACCGGACTGGTTCCCGGACATAAACTCATCCTCTTCCCCGTCCATGAGCGCGTCAGACCCCGCCCCAGCTCCGGGAGGCCTCTGCCTGTCTCCGGTGAAGCAGAAAACCCCGTGTGTGCGCAGACAGTGCCAATAACGCCACTGTTTGGAGACGAAACACAGGACGAAAGTGTTGAAAGTGTTTGTGCCGCTGTGCTCTGAGGTTCAAAATGGCGCCCCGGCAGATTTGTACGCATGCGCAGCAGTACAGGCGCGAGAGAAAGACGTACATTTTTTTCTTAAATTCATTATTTGTATTTACATTTTTTAAAATCAATACACTTTTCAGTAATTTAATATTAGAAATAAATATAATGAAATAGATAGAAAATACGACAGCAATTGTGTAATTAAATCATGAAAAAGCATCAAATATCCAGGTGTAACATACATCTCATCTGTGGTTAGTCTCTGGTCTCTCTCCCTGAGGTCTGATTTCTCTCTCTGAGGTCTTTCTGGTCTCTCTCTGATGTCTCTATCTGGCGCATGGATTAGGTTAATGGGCGTGTTAGTATTGTGTGTCGTCATCACTCCGCGACATCTGAGCTGCCCCACGCTGGTGTCTGAGGCTCGTGGTGTTTACGGTCACAGTCCGGTTCCTCTCCGTTTTTGTACCGTGATTGTAACAGTTTTTTGTTTTTGTTTGTGACCGATCACAACCAGAGTAGCGAGCGGGATGGACGTGTGGGTCGGGTCGGAAACGGGGCTCCTCAAAGGCGTCAGTGTGCAACGAAAACAGGCCGTAAACTTCAGCCTCAGGTACGAAGACTTTGTCAGCAAGTTCCAAACGAAGTCTATTACATAAAGCTGGGGTCTGTAACTTTTGTCTCATCAATAACATATGTTTAAAGCTGGGGTCTGTCTTCTCTGGTCTCTCTGCAGCAGCTCAGGGCGCCTCTCCCGGGACCAGGAGGTGCGGTGCCTCTGCTGGTATGGTCCTGTTGAGGCACAGATCCTGGTAGGTGCAGTTGATGGCATCGTGAGGACGTTTGATGTGGACAAAGGCGCGGTGACGTCAACGCAGCGCTGTGGTGAGCCTGCAGACGGCTGCTTCACCGGACTGGGCACACTCGGTTCATCTCTGATCACCTGCACCGAGAAAGGAACCGTGAGAGTATGGGACCAGGAAAAGGACCAGCCACGCACCGAGCTGAGGGCAGGGGACCAGGTGCACAGGTGAGACCAGAGAGAGAGAGAGACACCGCATGCACAGCCCTCACCAATGTGTTGTAAAGTCTGTATTTAACATAAACATGGATAACAGCCTTGTGAGTCACAATTTGACTCTTTGGGCTAAGAGTCAATTTTCTGTCTGACAAAGTGAACACTAGCGAATTGTGATAGAACTGTTTTTAGAGCCAAGAGTAAGATACATGGGTTTTATGACTCCCCTCTCTATCTCCCTCTACAACTTCACCCACCTCTCTCCCCCTCTCCTCAGGATGCGTGTCAACCCTTTCCTCCCCCACACAGTGGCCACAGGGGGGAGAGAGAACCCTCTGAAGATCTGGGACCTGGAGAAACCCCTCAAACCAGTGTTCTGTGCCAAGAACCTGCGCGACACATGGTTGGACCTGAGACAGCCGCACTGGATCAGAGACCTGGTATTCACCCCCAAGGGACAGGTCCTGACCTGTACAGCCTACCACCAGGTGGGATTCTGAACTGGTGATTCCTCTAACCTGGTGCTAGTTATGAGACTGCAGTTACAGACCCCAGCTTTAATCTCTTCCTTTGCAGGTGCACCTGTATGACCCCCTGACCCCGCGGCGGCGTCCTGTCCTGGAGACAGTGTTTGGTGAAGCTCCTCTGACCGCATTGTGCCTGTTCGACCACACAGTGGCGGTGGCGAGCGCGCAGGGGCAGGTGGCGCTCATGGACCTGAGGAAGCTGCAGGTGTGCGGCGCTCTGCGGGGAGTCACAGGGTCGGTACGCTCTCTGACCCAACACCCCTCACTGCCGCTCATCGCCTCCTGCAGCCTGGACCGACACCTGAGAATACACAGCCTCACAGACCGACGACTGCAACACAAGGTGAGAGGAACACCTGACATCAGGAGCTAGTGTTATCAGTAGCTAACCTGATGTCTCTCTCTCAGGTTTATCTGAAGTCTCGTCTGAACTGCCTGCTGATGTCGAGCTCAGATCCAAATGCTGCTGCGTCACCGCTGAGAGTGAAGGAAGAAGAGGAAGAGGATGAGGTCTGGGACTGTATGGAGAGCGTGCACGAAAGAGGCGTGCAGGATGAGGGCGCGCAGGAGGAAAGCGCGCAGGATGAGGGCGCGCAGGATGGTGAGAGGCCTACCCTGGAAGACAGCAATGTGGTCAAGGATATAAACGTGCATGTGAAAGACGATGGCGCACACAAGGACATGCACGAGGCAGAGAGCGCGCACAAGGCGACTGCAAAACCCAAGAGAAGAACAAACTCAAAAAAAGAGCAGAAGCCAAAGAGGCGTAAGAAGGGGCAAGACTGAGATCTGCGCGGACGGATACTTGTGCTTTGTTCTGTTCTCGAGCCCAGACTTTTTGAGAGAAAAACAAACTGATGGAAGCAGAGGCCTGCACAGGACCTCGGACTCTGTCAACACACAGGGGACCGTAGAACCGAGGACCTCAGACCTCCATGACACAGTCTGAGACCAGAGTTATTAACTGTAGGCTCCAGCAGAGGGCCTCGTTTCTAAAAATTGATCTATACAGATTTCCCTGTACTTTCTCTGGTCTCTTTGGTCCAGACATGTAGTTTTAGATCTGCTGCAGTAAAGTCTTTCTCTGTGCAAAAAACTCTTAGGAAAAACGTGATCTATTCTAAACGTCTACAGTTTCTGAAAAGTCTAGAGTGTGGCGTAACTGACTTCAGATTTCTGACGAGGAAATAAGAAAATACATGTTTAATGTGAAAACATTGACGAGGGACAAGTACGAAAAGAAAGCAGTCCTTAAGTTTGTATTCAATAAAACAGTAAAATCCAGAATCTTGTTAATAACATTTATTATCCTCAGACAGTGGTTTTTAAGTGTTTGTAAAAAAGTGGAACAAAAGTTTATTTAGGAAACGAAATAAAGACAAGGATCACAGTGACGTTATCGGCACAACCGCGTCTGACCGCCTCAGACGCCAGCTGCTGACAGGCAGAGTCCAGGAGAGAGTCTGAGACCACCCCAGAGTCCTTCTGCTCCTCTGAACCTTCACCTTTCTGAAAACAAGAAAATAAACAGGTTCCCCATCAGTGACAGCGTCAGAGCCTCAGATAGTACCACGTCTGCACACAAGAGGGAACTGTTTGATTTTGTCCTGTCTCATAAGGCAGCACTGTTTTGCTTGATGTATAAAACGTATTCACCTTTCAGGTGAATGTGGACCATTCATAAACCCTAAACCTGCCACAGGGTTCAAGTTAGAAGAAGTCATCAAAACATTATTTAGGTTATTTGTTAATCACTGTGGCGGTCGGATTGACCTGAGGATCTCATAAGGATTCATTAATGCAAAAATAATGCAAACCTGGAAGGAAGGCTCCAAATGTGATGTCACCTGTTTATCAGGCTTTAAAGGTCTGAGTCTCACCATTCTTAAACCTCACTACAGTAGCCCCGCCCCCTCCCATCACTCACCTGCAGGATGTGTAGCACAAACTTGACAGCTTCATCAGCAGAAAAAACTTTGAATAAACCGTCACAGGCCAAAAGCATGAACCTGCAACACACACAGGGTTCCAGTCCGGCGTCTCCACGGCAACAGGAGCACACACACTTTATTTATTCTAATAATTATAGAACTGAAGGTGACACGCACACATACACACAGGCCCTGTCCCAACACTCGCACTTCCACCCTCGCGCCCCTCATTTGCGCGTTTCCGATGATGAGTGCGTAGGGTGTCCCAATTCTCCAGGGAGGTCTTTGACCCCGCCCCCTTTGCGCCCCTGATCCACACTTCGCCGTAGCCTGGATCTAAGCAGACTCTGGCGAAGGATATTCCCATAATTCTTTGCGGTACACACAAGACGTCTGGAAAATGCATTTAAGTAAGTTTTGAAATGTAAGCTGTAGGTGTGTGAATAAGTTTAGCTATGTTACATGGAAAGCAGCATAAATGTATTTACGGACATTCTATGGTAACAATTTCATAACTTTTTTAAAACAAGCATTTATATAACATTCCATTTAAACTTTACACTTAGTACAATCGCCTTAGGATGTATAAAAACTCACCAGATAACAGTTAGTTACCCACATTTAACTTATTTTATTAGTTTTGTTGACAGGGACATTGTGCATTAAAACATTTCTGTAAATGCACCAGAATTAGCCAAGCAGACTATTTTTCATCTGCAGTCCCTGGACAGGTGTACATAGTCTCCCTAAAGATAAAAGTTATACAATAATAAAATACAGAAAACACAGACAGTCGGAGACAACAAGGACACATAAATCATACAATAAAAATACAGTTCACATACAAAAGATATTTACAAAGCAATGAGTAAATTGCCTAGACGGGCGGCACGGTGGCTGAGTGGATAGCACTCTCGCCTCTCAGCAAGAAGGTCCTGGGTTCGAATCCCAGTCGGACCAGGGCCTTTCTGAGTGGAGTTTGCATGTTCTCCCCGTGTCTGCGTAGGTTTCCTCCGGGTACTCCGGTTTCCCCTACCACTAAAAATATGTCCAATAGTTCTAGCATGCGCCTCCTGTACTGGCGACCCCGCTCCCATCTCTGTGTGGAGTGAGAGACTAATGCCCAAAAAAAATGAACAATTGTAAACCGCTTTGAGACTCAGATCTGCAGTGAAAAGGCGGTATATAAATAAAGATTACTTACTACTTACTTACTAATTGTTACATGTCTGCTGTGTTATTAACCAGTTTTTCAGATTTAATTTGAATAGTGAGTATGGTGTGAATTCTCTGTTTGCCGGGTATGGAGTTCAGTCTCTGGCAGCGGTTACAGAGAAGGCACTCAGCTGTATAATTTTAAAGTTCAGTCAATCTCAAATAACGAATATCCGATATACATGTATTTTAACGTGTGTGGAGCAACTCATTTTGTTTCCCACAGGGTCAGACAAAGTTTAGGTCTGAAAATGACCATCTCTTCACTAGTCGATGACGTAACCTGCACTGTCCCAATTCCGCCTTTTTTGCACGCTTGTAACCTGCCACTCAAACCCTTGCGTGCACTTCAAACAAATGCACACTTCGTAGTGGAGTGTAGGGTGCAGAGGTGCAGTGTGGGTATTGGGACAGGGCCACACGAAGGCCCCGTCCCAATACTCGCACTTCCACCCTCGCGCCCCTCATTTGCGCGTTCCCGATAAAGGGTGCGAGTGCGTAGGGTGTCCCAATTCTCCAGGGAGGTCTTTGGCCCCGCCCCCTTTGCGCCCCTGATCCACACTTCGCCGTAGCCTGCATCTATGCGCACTCTGGCGAAGGATATTGCCCATAATTCTTTGCGGTACACACCAAAACGTCGGGAAAATGCAAATTTTGAAATATATGCAGTATGTGTGTAAATAAGTTTTGCTATGTTACTTGGAAAGAAGCATAAACGTCTGATGAAGAATTACGGACATTGTGTTTTAACAATTTAATACATTTTAAAGCAAGCGTTTATATAACATTCAATTTAAAATTTACACTTAGTACAATAATCTTAGAATGTATAAAAACTGACCAGATAACAGTTAGTTACCCACATTTAACTTAAAATTATACAGCTATCTCTAATTAAAAACAACTAATATACATGTATTTTAACGTGTGTGAAGCAATTCAATTTGTTTCCCAAAGGGTCAGACAAAATTAGCTTTAAAGTTTAGGTCTGAAAATGACCATCTCTTGACGAGTGGATGACGTATCCTGCACTCAGTGTGCACTGTCCCAATTCTGCCTTTTTTGCACACTTGTAACCTGCGCACTCCAACCCTGGTGTGCACTTCGAACAAATGCACACTTCGTAGAAGTGTGTAGGGTGCAGTGTGGGTATTGGGACTGGGCCACACACATACATATACATATACATATAAGGAAGTAGTACCTGTCGTTGCGAGTGAGCTGGCACCTCCGCAGGTCTGGAGTGGAAATGACCCCGCAGCGTTTGTACTGACCGTCCCCCAGAGAGCGAGAGACCTCCAAGACTCCCAGGACCCTGCCCTCTCTGAAGGGAGGGAGACCAGAGAGAGGTGAGAGAAACGGGGAGGGAGACCAGAGTGAGGGGAGAGAGAGACAAACACGTTGTGTACACTTGTAACTAGGGATGTAAATCGGTGACCGTTTAACCGGTGGTTGACCGTCACAGCGTTAACCGGTCAAAGCTGTCGGTTAAAAATAAGAAAAAGCGGAGAGGGGAGGTCTCTTACTAAGGCTATTTTAAGCCCTATTTGTACGATGTGACGAGCGGGTCCGTATCTAGCTGTGTGCGCCAATGCATTAGTAGACTACGGGCGACTTTCATGGCGCACGCTCCACATATGCACGCAGCCACGCACACGCCCCCGCGCGCGCACACACACACACACAAACACTTTCCCCCCTTCCATACGTAACATCCACACGCATCATCTCTCCCCTCTGTTACCGCCAAAGTTCCACACTAGTGCAGGTCAGAACTACATTGGAGCTTATATTTACACACACATACATACATGTATTGTACACACACACACATACCGGTCTGTCGCGCACCTCTTTGTCTCGCAGCCCAAAGAATCCTCGCAAATACGCGGCCCCAGTCAAACACATGAAACATGTTTGTGCTGCTGGTCCTTGTCATTAGATCAGATCCACACACATCACTTTTAAACTTTAGCGGAGACCTGCAAGACGCGGCGTGTAACTCGCTGCTCTGACCATGTGAACGAGCCGTCTTTTGCTTAAAAATGCTTTAACCCGCAGCTCAGCAGAATGGGAAGATTAAAAAAGCAGTTCTCTGTGCGCAAAGGTGCCGAAGCTGTTGCGGGTTTTGGCGCCGCTGTCTCAGCTCTGATCTAGTAGAACGCATAGATAAACTTATGAAAAGTACGCGGCTCGAAATGGCTGCTATTTCAAAGAACGTGGAATATTTTAAACTACGTGGTTAACCGGTTTCAACCGGTTAATGAGGCTCGGTGGTCGGTCATGAAAATGCATAGTTTTTTACATCCCTACACCCCTAAATAAAGAGTGAGGAGTGTCTGACCTCACAGTTCCTCCTGCTCTCTGGATCCTCATTCGCTCCTCGTACATTGTGGGGTTGTGTTCTTTACTCAGACTCAGAGTCACAGGCTTCAGTCTCCCCTCACTTTGCTCCATGCGACACAGGACAGCCTGGGGAGACAGAGAGGAGTAAGAGGAGGAGGAGGAGAGGGAGGACTAATCTGGCAAGAGCCAGATTGATGATTGTGTAGAACTCTAATGCGTTCTCCACAATATCAATCTGGGACTTCTGCAGGAGAATCCTTTCAGGGAAAGGAGGGATAAGCAGCAGAATACTTCAAGCTGATTGGGCGAAGTGACGCTGTGTACCAAGGTTTGACTTAAACCAATCCCAGTAACATTAGGTCGTCATCGGCGTGCACAAAGCGCCTCTCGCTGTTCATCTTTCAAAAAAGAAATTGGAGATTCTGATAAAACTGACTTGATAGCCTCAGCTACGCGTCCGTCCTCCTGCGTAGCCATGTTTGTTTTGCTTCGGCCCGGCACTTGCTTTCGTCAAACCCGGATATCCCGCCCTAAATCCCCAGACTGGCGCGTGATTGGCTTGAACACCTAGATGTTCTACTCGAAAAGGGTTGGCGGGAGCGGGACAAGATGTATTTGTGAACTCACAAATACCGCGAGAATTCAGCTTGCAGGCAAGGTTAAAGGAGGACAGCCTGGGGAGACAGAGAGTAAGAGAGGGAAGAGAGGACAGCCTGGGGAGACAGAGGAGGAGGAGAGAGAGGACAGCCTGGGGAGACAGAGGAGGAGGAGAGAGAGGACAGCCTGGGGAGACAGGAGGAGAGAGAGGACACTCTGGGGAGACAGGAGGAGAGAGAGGACAGCTTGGGGAGACAGGAGGAGAGAGAGGACACTCTGGGAGACAGGAGGAGGAGAGAGAGGACAGCCTGGGGAAACAGGAGGAGGAGAGAGAGGACAGCCTGGGGAGACAGAGGAGGAGGAGAGAGAGGACAGCCTGGGGAGACAGAGGAGGAGAGAGAGGACAGCCTGGGGAGACAGAGGAGGAGAGAGAGGACAGCCTGGGGAGACAGAGGAGGAGGAGAGAGAGGACAGCCTGGGGAGACAGAGGAGGAGAGAGAGGACAGCCTGGGGAGACAGAGGAGGAGGAGAGAGAGGACAGCCTGGGGAGACAGAGAGTAAGAGAGGGAAGAGAGGACAGCCTGGGGAGACAGAGGAAGAGGAGAGAGAGGACAGCCTGGGGAGACAGAGGAGGAGGAGAGAGAGGACAGCCTGGGGAGACAGAGGAGGAGGAGAGAGAGGACAGCCTGGGGAGACAGAGGAGGAGGAAGAGAGGACAGCCTGGGGAGACAGGAGGAGAGAGAGGACAGCTTGGGGAGACAGAGGAGGAGGAGAGAGAGGACAGCCTGGGGAGACAGAGGAGGAGAGAGAGGACAGCCTGGGGAGACAGAGGAGGAGAGAGAGGACAGCCTGGGGAGACAGGAGGAGAGAGAGAGAGGACAGCTTGGGGAGACAGGAGGGGGAGAGAGAGGACAGCCTGTGGAGACAGAGGAGGAGAGAGAGGACAGCCTGGGGAGACAGAGGAGGAGAGAGAGGACACTCTGGGGAGACAGGAGGAGGAGAGAGAGGACAGCCTGGGGAGACAGGAGGAGGAGAGAGAGGACAGCCTGGGGAGACAGGAGGAGGAGAGAGGACAGCCTGGGGAGATAGAGGAGGAGGAGAGAGAGGACAGCCTGGGGAGACAGAGGAGGAGGAGAGAGAGGACAGCCTGGGGAGACAGAGGAAGAGGAGAGAGAGGACAGCCTGGGGAGACAGAGGAGGAGGAGAGAGAGGACAGCCTGGGGAGACAGGAGGAGAGAGAGGACAGCTTGGGGAGACAGAGGAGGAGGAGAGAGAGGACAGCCTGGGGAGACAGAGGAGGAGAGAGAGGACAGCCTGGGGAGACAGGAGGAGAGAGAGGACAGCTTGGGGAGACAGGAGGGGGAGAGAGAGGACAGCCTGGGGAGACAGAGGAGGAGAGAGAGGACAGCCTGGGGAGACAGAGGAGGAGAGAGAGGACACTCTGGGGAGACAGGAGGAGGAGAGAGAGGACAGCCTGGGGAGACAGGAGGAGGAGAGAGAGGACAGCCTGGGGAGACAGGAGGAGGAGAGAGAGGGACAGCCTGGGGAGACAGAGGAGGAGAGAGAGGACAGCCTGGGGAGACAGAGGAGGAGGAGAGAGAGGACAGCCTGGGGAGACAGAGGAGGAGGAGAGAGAGGACAGCCTGGGGAGACAGAGAGTAAGAGAGGGAAGAGAGGACAGCCTGGGGAGACAGAGGAGGAGGAGAGAGAGGACAGCCTGGGGAGACAAAGGAGGAGGAGAGAGAGGACAGCCTGGGGAGACAGAGGAGGAGGAGAGAGAGGACAGCCTGGGGAGACAGGAGGAGAGAGAGGACACTCTGGGGAGACAGGAGGAGAGAGAGGACAGCTTGGGGAGACAGGAGGAGAGAGAGGACACTCTGGGGAGACAGGAGGAGGAGAGAGAGGACAGCCTGGGGAAACAGGAGGAGGAGAGAGAGGACAGCCTGGGGAGACAGAGGAGGAGGAGAGAGAGGACAGCCTGGGGAGACAGAGGAGGAGAGAGAGGACAGCCTGGGGAGACAGAGGAGGAGAGAGAGAGACAGCCTGGGGAGACAGAGGAGGAGGAGAGAGAGGACAGCCTGGGGAGACAGAGGAGGAGGAGAGAGAGGACAGCCTGGGGAGACAGAGGAGGAGGAGAGAGAGAACAGCCTGGGGAGACAGAGAGTAAGAGAGGGAAGAGAGGACAGCCTGGGGAGACAGAGGAAGAGGAGAGAGAGGACAGCCTGGGGAGACAGAGGAGGAGGAGAGAGAGGACAGCCTGGGGAGACAGAGGAGGAGGAGAGAGAGGACAGCCTGGGGAGACAGAGGGAGAGAGGACAGCTGGGAGAGGAGGAGAGAGAGGACAGCCTGGGGAGACAGGAGGAGGAGAGAGAGGACAGCCTGGGGAGACAGAGGGAGAGAGAGAGGACAGCCTGGGGAGACAGAGGAGGAGAGAGAGGACAGCCTGGGGAGACAGGAGGAGGAGAGAGAGGACAGCCTGGGGAGACAGGAGGAGGAGAGAGAGGACAGCCTGGGAGACAGAGGAGGAGAGAGAGAGGACAGCCTGGGGAGACAGAGGAGGAGGAGAGAGAGGACAGCCTGGGGAGACAGAGGAGGAGGAGAGAGAGGACAGCCTGGGGAGACAGAGAGGAGGAGAGAGAGGACAGCCTGGGGAGACAGAGGAGGAGGAGAGAGAGGACAGCCTGGGGAGACAGAGGAGGAGGAGAGAGAGGACAGCCTGGGGAGACAGAGGAGGAGGAGAGAGAGGACAGCCTGGGGAGAGAGAGAGGAGGACAGCTGGGAGACAGAGAGGGACAGCCTGGGGAGACAGAGAGGAGAGAGAGAGACAGCTGGGAGACAGAGGAGAGAGAGGACAGCTTGGGGAGAGAGGGGAGAGAGAGACAGCCTGGGGAGACAGAGAGGAGAGAGGACAGCCTGGAGACAGAGGAGAGAGAGACACACTCTGGGGGAGGAGAGAGAGGCCTGGGAGGAGAGAGAGAGAGGACAGCCTGGGGAGACAGGAGGAGGAGAGAGAGGACAGCCTGGGGAAACAGGAGGAGGAGAGAGAGGACAGCCTGGGAGACAGGAGGAGGAGAGAGAGGACAGCCTGGGGAAACAGGAGGAGGAGAGAGAGGACAGCCTGGGGAGACAGGGAGGAGGAGAGAGAGGACAGCCTGGGGAGACAGGAGGAGAGAGAGGACAGCTTGGGGAGACAGAGGAGGAGGAGAGAGAGGACAGCCTGGGGAGACAGAGGAGGAGAGAGAGGACAGCCTGGGGAGACAGGAGGAGAGAGAGGACAGCTTGGGGAGACAGGAGGGGGAGAGAGAGGACAGCCTGGGGAGACAGGAGGGGGAGAGAGAGGACAGCCTGGGGAGACAGAGGAGGAGAGAGAGGGACAGCCTGGGGAGACAGGAGGAGGAGAGAGAGGACAGCCTGGGGAGACAGGAGGAGGAGAGAGAGGACAGCCTGGGGAGACAGGAGGAGGAGAGAGAGGACAGCCTGGGGAAACAGGAGGAGGAGAGAGAGGACAGCCTGGGGAGACAGGAGGAGGAGAGAGAGGACAGCCTGGGGAAACAGGAGGAGGAGAGAGAGGACAGCCTGGGGAGACAGGAGGAGGAGAGAGAGGACAGCCTGGGGAGACAAGGGGAGGAGGAGAGAGAGGACAGCCTGGGGAGACAGGAGGAGGAGAGAGAGGACAGCCTGGGGAAACAGGAGGAGGAGAGAGAGGACAGCCTGGGGAGACAGGAGGAGGAGAGAGAGGACAGCCTGGGGAGACAGAAGGAGGAGAGAGAGGACAGCCTGGGGAGACAGAGGAGGAGAGAGAGGACAGCCTGGGGAGACAAGGGGAGGAGTAGGAAAGGGTAGCAGTTGCATCTTACCCTGCTGTCTCCCAGATTGGCCACATAAACGGTATCATCAACCACCAGAGCACATGTGGCTGTGGAGCCGTCCTTCCAGACCGGCTTCCTGAAAACACAGAGTCAGCTCTAACCCTCACAGAGTCAGCTTTATCTCACAGAGTCAGCTCTATCTCACAGAGTCAGCTCTATCTCACAGAGTCAGCTCTATCTCACAGAGTCAGCTCTATCTCACAGAGTCAGCTCTATCTCACAGAGTCAGCTCTATCTCACAGAGTCAGCTCTATCTCACAGAGTCAGCTCTACTCACTGGCTCGTCGCTCTCTTGAGGAAGTCGTCGTCCGTCTGTTTGAACGTGTCCAGGAGACTCTTCTTGATCAGCTTGTCCAGGTTTGAGCAGTCACCTGAAAACAACACAAGTCCGCCTCAGACCTCCTGTGGCTGCAAGAGCATAGTCTGCCCCAAGGCATCTGTGGCTGCGGCTCTGACCTGAGGGAAACTTCTGGGCCAGAGTCTGGTGCAGGTTTTGGGCGCCGAACCTGGAGGCGCGCGCTCCTCCGTGTCCATCGAAGACAGCAAAGAACGAAACACGAGAACTGAAGGAAACAATTTAATGGAATAAGAGACGGTCTGGATGAGCAGTCCCAAGGAAGAAGTGGTCTCTGTCCCTCTCTGCCCTCTCCCTCTCTGGTCTCTCTCCCTCTATGGTCTCTCTCCATCTCTGGTCTCTCTCCATCTCTGGTCTCTCTCCATCTCTGGTCACTCTCCATCTCTGGCACTCTCCATTTCTGGCACTCTCTCTCTCTGGTCCCTCTCCCTCTCTGGTCCCTCTCCCTCTCTGGTCCCTCTCCCTCTCTGGTCCCTCTCCCTCTCTGGTCCCTCTCCCTCTCTGGTCCCTCTCCCTCTCTGGTCCCTCTCCCTCTCTGGTCCCTCTCCCTCTCTGGTCCCTCTCCCTCTCTGCCCTCTCCCTCTCTGCCCTCTCCCTCTCTGGCCTCTCCCTCTCTGGCCTCTCCCTCTCTGGCCTCTCCCTCTCTGGCCTCTCCCTCTCTGGCCTCTCCCTCTCTCTCTCTGGTCCCTCTCCCTCTCTGCCCTCTCCCTCTCTGCCCTCTCCCTCTCTGCCCTCTCCCTCTCTGCCCTCTCCCTCTCCTCCCTCTCTGCCCTCTCCCTCTCCCTCTCTGCCCTCTCCCTCTCTGCCCTCTCCCTCTCTCTCTCTGCCCTCTCCTCCCTCTCTGCACTCTCCCTCTCTGCCCTCTCCCTCTCTGCCCTCTCCCTCTCTGCCCTCTCCCTCTCTGCCCTCTCCCTCTCTGCCCTCTCCCTCTCTGCCCTCTCCCTCTCTGCCCTCTCCCTCTCTGCACTCTTCCCTCTCTGCACTCTCCCTCTCTGCACTCTCCCTCTCTGCACTCTCCCTCTCTGCACTCTCCCTCTCCCTCTCTGGTCTCTCACTCACACAGCTTTAGGCCTGGTCTTCAGTAGACCTCTCATGTCCGACAGTAGAACATGCGAGTCTTGCATCTCATCTCTCTCTCCTCGTCTCGATGCCACGAACCCTCTGAGCTCTGGCAGACCTGCGCACACACAGCCACAGACTTGGACTTAGACCTGGATTTGGAGCTGGACCCGCTCTGTGACTCAGATAGAAAGATATTTATTTATGTGTCACGTACAATGTTAACAACAGGTCAATAACATGTAGTGAAATGTGTCTTTAGTGTAAGTCAAAGAAATACAGGACAATAATATCTACGGTTCATGAGACGTGTGGCCTGAGGGGAAGACACTGGAGAACCTTCTGTGCAGACTCGCTTCACCTCCTCCTGCTCCTCCTCCTTCACCTCCTGCTGCTGCTCCTCCTTCACCTCCTCCTGCTCCTTGCTGGCTTTACGCTTCCGCGCCCCATCCTGCGCGCCGTTGCTGTGGCTTTGCGCTTTGGTTTTAACAGGAGCTAGGGGAGATCAGACCAGAGTTTAGTCCCACATAACAACAGACCAGCAAGAAACAAGAGAGGCCAATACTAACGGCTTATTAACCGAGCGCGAGGTTAAAAGAATGTTTTATTATATGACTATTTTTAATTTATGCAAATATCGATCTCCGACTTGGTTTTCCTAATCGTGTTTTTAGCTTTCTGGTCTGCAACGAAGTTGTCAATCTCATCTTGTCTGTTAGTTATTTTTTCTTTGTTATTTTCTGTAATTTCTTCCTCTGGCTCGTCAAACTCGTCCGGATAATAGAATTCACTGGAGAATGCTCCCAGTTGTCGCCCATTATTTCTTTTTGACCGAGGAAAATCAGGAAAGAAATCAATTGTGATACGCGCTGCGGACTGATTGTCATGGTAACGGTCGAGATGGGAAAATATCAGACCGGTAATCAGCCAATCAGAGCTCGCGTACGGTCCAAGTCATATAATAAAAGATAATATTAAGATGAGATAAGATAGATTTTATAGATCTCACACAGGAGAAATGTACATGTCAGATCTGGCATGGATAGAAACACCAGAGAGAGAGTCCAGAGAGAGACCAGAGAAAAAGGACAGAGAGAGGCCAGACAGAGAGACCAGTGAGAGACCAGAGAGAGTCATGGATGTTCCTTTGGCTTCCATCTGTTTCCAGAACCGTGACCTCTGCTTCCCGAGATCAAAGTTCACATCTCGGTCTGAAAGGTTCCATATTAAAGCTTTGTTCTCACCGGAGGTCTGTGTGGGCTCCGGGAGGTCCCCGAACAGGTCCATCAGCGCTGTTAGCCACCGTTAGCCGCAGAGCTAACACAACACCACACCGCCACGACTGAAACGGACCAAACCTCTGCTCTGAGGTGTGAGTGCTGGGCTGGGGGTTACCGGGGGATAGTATCGGGGGTTGCCAGGGGTTTATGGGGGTTTCCGAGGACAGAAGGACGGGCCTCATGTGGTAAATGCATAGACTGTAAATGTGGGGTAAATGAGAGAGCGGTGTCAGCTAGCTCAGTGTCGAACAGAGGCTGCGTCCGAATTCACACATATCGCTCCTTACTCGCTCTTCCTTACTCTTTGAGGTGGACATTGCAGAGGCAGAACAGGTTCAGACTATGGTTCAGATCCACTCCTGCGCCATTTATGACATTTAAAAGAGGTTTTTATTTACACGTAGGTGGAATTTAATGTGACTGAGATCGTTGTAAGAAGGAAGGATAAGGAATATTGAGTTTGGATGCGCCCTTAAAGTTGTGTGGTCAAAATTACAACAGCGACACCACTATTGTGGTGTCGCTATTGTGCTCTTGGAGAAACCAGAGACCAGAGAGAGGCCAGGTCTCGCTCCTGGTCATGGAGGCTTTAAAAGTTAAATGGACCTTGATTCGTCATGGAAACAGATCCTGACCCCGCTGCACGTTATCCACATACATCCATATATTTAGTTTTTAACTGAATCTATTTTAATAAATCATTAACAAACAAAACGCAAGACTGAGGTTTATTTGAAACAAACACGTGGGTTCGGGTTGGTCCTGGTTTAGTCCTGGTTTAGTCCTGGTTTAGTCCTGGTTTAGTCCTGGTTTAGTCCTGGTTTAGTCCTGGTTTAGTCCTGGTTTAGTCCTGGTTTAGTCCTGGTTTAGACCTGGTTTAGACCTGGTCTAGACCTGGTTTAACACTGGTTTAGTCCTGGTTTAGTCCTGGTCTAGACCAGTTCTAGACCTGGTTTAGTACTGGTTTAGTACTGGTTTAGTACTGGTTTAGTACTGGTTTAGACCAAGTAGAGACCTGATTTATGGGCAGGTAGTACAGGGGTACATTGGGAGGACAGGGGCGGGGCCCGTGGTCTGAGTTTGGTTCTGAGTGTGAACAGTTCTTGGTCCCGTTCGGAAACAGAGAGATCTTCATCTGGAACAACAGCTCCCGTCCCTGAAACAGACCCAAGCAGACCAGTGCCAGTTCAGACAGACCCAACCAGACCAGTGAGGGTTTAATGATAATAAAATAAAAGTCAGGTGAAAACTAACTCAAAATCCAAACAAGCACTCAGGAAACAGGATAACAGACAAACACCAAGGTACATACAGACAGAGACACAGGTACATAGAGACATAGGTACATACAGGGGATTTTAAAGACCTTATGCCGGGTTTAAAAAAAAAAAATTGTGGGTATCAAAATTGCATGACAATGTCAATCTGAAAGAGATTCCGGCGAAAAAAAATCCTATATTTTATAAAAAGAACGTGTTTTTCATGAATTTAAGCTGTCTATGCTCAAACCTGTGTGTGACGTCATAGCGGGTAACGCCCATGCATTGAAACCATGGATCTATGCCACAGGACTGCCTTTTCTCTCTTCTCTCCACTGATGCCCAACACAATACTGCCCTCTACAGGTGACAATTGCTCACTACACATAAATTGCCGTTTTGAGAGTGAAAAAGTGTCTGAGCTGGGATTTGAACCCCAGTGTCTGGATTGACAGTCCATTGACACAACCACTGGACTATCTCAGTGCCAACAAAGAGATACAATCTAGTAGTTATGTCACACTTGCTGTACACGGCCTTGTCATCTTGAATATCCGCGAAAAAAGAACGAATACCAAATTGTATACAACTTACAGCGTTGAAACGTACCCACTCTGACGTCACCAAGGGCTGTGAAGTTTTTTCGTTTCTAAGGGCGTTGCTATGGGGTTATTTCGATTTGGGGGGATCAGACAAAAAAAACAACAACTGATTTTGAAACCTTTAGTAGTTCTCTTCTAATATAAAATTGTATTAAAACTGTATTTCTAAATGAATCAAACCCGGCATAAGGTCTTTAATATTCATGTGGATAATGTTGATGACAGAAATGCAAAAGAGCTGAGTTATTTACTTGATACCTTTGGTCTCACTCAGCACGTGAGTGGCCCCACCCACAGCAGAGGGCACACTCTAGACCTAGTAACTCTTAGTTAGTTACTAAGGGAGTGAATATTTCGAATGTAAACGTGGTCAATGTTGCTCTTTCGGATCATTTCTGTGTATGTATTTTTTGACATGTGTTTCACTAACAAACCACCAGTGGACTCTGTTCGAAGAAGACACATATGAAAATACGAGTGAACTTTTTATGGGAATGATAAACTTTGAAAATGCATTGTATTCTACTGTAGATGAACTGTTTAACTCTGTCACCTCTAGTGTTTTGAATGTTCTGGATACCGTTGCCCCTGTGAAGGTTAAAATAGTGAAAAATAAGCAGAAGGCGCCGTGGGCTAAAGCAGACTCGGTCAGAGCACTGAAGAGAAAGTGCCGGAGTGTCAAGCGGAAGTGGCGCAAGTCCAACCTCCAGGTTGATTACGAGATCTTCAAAGATAAGTTGTGCGAGTTTAACCAGGTGCTACGTAGTACGAGAGAAAGGTATTTTTCTGAAATGATTGAAGGCTGCGGCAACAATCTGCGTGTTCTGTTCTCAACAGTTAATATATTAACAAACCCCCCTGTTCAAATGCCATTAGAGCTAACTTCCAAACGTAAATGTAATGAGTTTGCACATTTTTTCAATGACAAGGTTCAAGGCATCAAAAACGCCATTGTCTCCAATCCACAGATAACCATCCAACAGCCAGAAAGGCTCTCTGAGCTAACTCACTTTGCACCTGTAAATGATAAAACTGTCCAAGAGATAATCTCCAGTTTGAGCTCCTCCACATGCAGCCTGGATGTACTACCCACTAGATTTATAAAGTCTGTTCTGAGCAGTCTGTTACCTTCACTCACACAGATAGTAAACATGTCCCTTCATTCTGGAATATTCCCAAAGGCCCTGAAAACTGCAGTCATCAGGCCCCTGCTAAAAAAGAGCAGTCTGGATGCTACGGTACTTAACAACTATCGTCCCATCTCAAATGTACCATTTATGGGGAAAGTCCTTGAGAAAGTTGTCTACCTACAGCTTACTAGATTTCTTATAATCAACAACTCATTTGATATGTTTCAGTCCGGCTTTAGACCCCACCACAGCACTGAGACTGCTCTCGTTAAGGTTACAAACGATATCCGGCTGAACACTGACGCAGGCAAAGTCTCAATCTTAATCTTGTTAGATCTGAGTGCTGCCTTTGACACTGTCGACCATGAGATCCTCTTACAGAGACTAGAGGACTGGGTTGGCGTCGCTGGCACCGTCCTAACTTGGTTTAGGTCTTACCTTGAAGACAGGAAGTACTTTGTGGAGATTGGAAACTGTGTCTCAGATCATATGGCCCTGACCTGTGGAGTACCACAGGGGTCGATCCTGGGACCTCTTCGGTTCAATCTCTACATGCTGCCGTTAGGTCAGTTAATACGCAGAAACAAAGTTTCCTATCATAACTATGCAGACGACACTCAGATCTATGTCTCACTGACTGCAGGAGAACATGGACCAGTGGACTCACTCCTTCACTGTATCCAACAGATCAGTGAGTGGATGCAAAACAACTTCCTTCAGCTAAACGCAGACAAAACTCAAATGATTGTCTTTGGTCCCCAGAAACAAAGAGAGAGCGTCATCTGTCACCTACAGTCTCTCTCCCTAAAACCTTCAAACAAGGTCAGAAATCTAGGGGTAATACTGAACTCAGACAAACATTTTAATAGTCACATCAAATCAGTAACATCAGCAGCTTTTTACCATCTAAAAAACATTGCCAGGATCAAAAACATAGTGTCTAGAGCAGACTTGGAGATTCTTATCCATGCATTTGTCTCCAGTAGGTTAGACTACTGCAATGGCCTGCTCACAGGTCTGTCCAAACAGGCTGTAAAACAGCTGCAGTACATTCAAAATGCAGCAGCTCGAGAGGTACATACAGACAGAGACACAGGTTTGTTTTGTTTGTTTTTATTCAGATCCCCATTAGCTACTGAAAGAGACAGTAGCTATTCTTCCTGGGGTCTATATACTTCATGTCACATAATATAACGTACAAAGGACAAAAATTAATGTACAAAAACAAAATTATATATATACATACACATATATATACACACACCACACATGTACACCATACATACACATACATACATACACACATACATATACATACATACACACATACATAAGCACGCACGCACACACACGCACACACAAACAATACAGAAACGTTATAACAAAAATACACAGTAGCCATCTATACACACACAGACAAACACATCCACACGGCAACATTAACAGCAGCAACAAAAATGATCTAAATTTAAAAAAAATGTCTACATTACATTTTAAACATTCAATTATCCAAATAATGTAAATACAACTCAAAAATACAAAAACAAATCAGCACCATTCTTCAGTGAAAAGGAAAACTCTCAATCTTTTATGAAAATCAAGTGCATTCATCCCATCTACCAGAAACTGGGGTAGTGAGTTCCATGCCACCATGGCCCTGTAGTGCAGTGTCCTCTGGGTATGATTGGTGCGACATGCAGGTCAGAGGAAACGTCTGTCCCTGGCCTGTCGAGTGGAATACTGGTGCACATCACTGAAGAAGGTCAATTTAGTAAAGAGTATCTCTGGTGTTTTTGTTATTATCATCTTTCTGATCATATTAACAAGAGAATATTTGATCCTCCCTCTAACATACAGCCAGGACAACTGGTGATGCATCTTACTTATGCTGGTTCTGAAAGAACAGTTCAGAACGAGCCGAGCCGCTTTATTTTGTGCTATTTGAAGTTTGATTAAATTTGCCTCTGTTGTGTTTGACCAAATTACAGAACAGTAATCTAGATGTGATAAAACAATTGAATCAACTAATAGTTTACATATTTGGTTTGGTATACAGTTTCGGCTCTGCTTCACTGCAGCCAGACCCCTGCCCATTTTGTTTAATATTTGCTTTATATGACTATTCCAGGTCAACATATGATCTACTGTTACACCCAGCAGCTTGGTCTCAGTGACTTGTTCTATAGATTTACCTTCTATGGTCACATTTATACCAGGGGAATTTTTTAAGTGATGCATTGATCCTAACACCATGCATTTGGTCTTTCTAGGATTAATAACCAATTTATTTTCATTCATCCAATCCTCAATTGATTTCAAATCTTCTTGTATGTTTTCATTTAAATTAGCAAGGTTAGTGTCGGACAGATAAATGGTTGAATCGTCTGCATAAAGGGCAATGGTGGCACGTTTCAAAATACACGGCAATTCATTTGTAAAGATTGAAAATAAAAGCGGCCCAAGACAGCTTCCTTGAGGCACTCCACAACTCAGTGTCTTTTTTCCAGAATAACTGCCGTTAAATAATACAATAAACTCTCTGTTAGTTAAATAACTTTTGACCCACTTGATAGCAGAATTTTCAAAACCATAGCAAGTTAATTTATTCAGTAATAAATCATGATCAAGTAAATCAAACGCTGCACTCAAATCTAGCAATACTGTCCCAATAATGTTTCTTTTTTCCATTTCATGCATCCAATCATCAGTTATTTGAGCTAAGGCTGATGTTGTGGAGTGCCCTTTCTTATAAGCATGCTGATACATCGAGTTTAATCCATTTCTACAAAAATATACATTGATCTGATCATAGACTATTTTTCCATTATTTTGCTCATAATTGGCAAAATACTAATTGGGCGACTGTTCTTTCCAGAAAAGGGCTCTTTGCTGTTTTTAGGTAGAGCCACAATTTTTGCTATTTTCCAATCATTAGGACAGATACACTTTTCTAAACTCAAATTAATTATGTGACAAATAGGCAGAGCAACCACATCATGCACCAGTTTCAGCAGCTTCACATCAATTTCATCAATGCCCGAAGGCTTGAGTTTCATGAGTTTTAGAACATTTTCAACAACGGTCGTACTCACTTTTTCAAACCTAAATTTACACAATTTACCACCCATTATTACATCTTTGATTGAGGTCCAAGATGAATGGGAATTTGACTTGGGAGTTATGTTGTTACGTAAAACTGTAACTTTATTTATGAAATATTCACTAAGATAATTTGAAATATCAATGGGCTTAGTCAGAAAAGATCCACCCACTTCCAAAAATGTTGGTACAGGCTTGACTTTCCTTCTCATCAGTTCATTTAATGTATTCCATATTTTTTTACCATCTGATTTTATATCAGCGAACTTATTTCCATAATAAGCTTTTCTCTTGGATCTGTTTAATTTGGTCACATAATTCCTCAGCTGCTTGTACTGGTTCCACACTGTGCTGCTGCCTGATGTGGATGCTTCTTCCTTTAGTTCATCTCTTTGCTTCATAAGTTCTTTAAGTTCAGGATCTACCCAGGGGGATGCTACATTTCTAACTGTCATTTTTCTCAATGGAGCATGTGTATTAATGATTGGCATGATTAGACTAGTGAAAACCTCCAAAGCTCTATTCGGATCATCCTCTAATGAAACTTGGGACCAGTTCACTTTCATGATTTCTTCCTTAAAATGTATTTCATTGAATGTTTTATAACTCCTTTTGATTATAATTTTCTGCCCTGCTTTAGGGACTTTAGTATTTCTATTTATTATAATTAAATTATGGTCACTAAACCCAACGCAAATTGAAATAGCTTTTGAGCATAGCTCAACTGAATTTGTAAACATTAAATCAATACAAGTGGCTGATTTTGTCCCATCTGTTTTATAAGCCAATCTTGTTGGTTTAATCACTACTTGTGACAAATTACAAGTGTCTGAAATGGACATTGATTTATTTTTCAAAGGACAATCCTTTGTGATCCAATCTATGTTTAAATCTCCTACAAAATAAATTTCCTTATTTAAGTCACAAACTTTGTCTAACAGATCTGATCTAGATAAACTATGTGAGCATTTGGAGGTCTATAGCAACAGCCAATCAGAAAAGGCCTAATGTGAGGTACCTGCACTTCCAGCCACAGTGCTTCCACTCCAACACAACCCAGATCAGATCGGATCTTCACTGGGATTTGATCTTGCACATAACATCCCACTCCGCCCCCGTGTATGTTTCTGTCAAGCCTATATAAGTTATAACCATTTACATGAACGAGGGAACTATCAATGTTTCCATCCAAATGTGTCTCAGATAAAGCTAGTATATGTAAATTGTAACTCTCTAAAATCCTGCTTATGTCCTGAACCTTATTTCTCAAACTACAGATATTCAGATGGGCAATTTTCAAACCTTTATTTGATAACACGTTATCCCTCACCATAAGAATTTGTATTTGTTTTGAAACTTTTCATCAAAAATAAGATAGAGCTGCAAACTAAACAATGTTGACAAAAAGACAAGACAAACAAACATTCACTCACACACACATACACCATGCACACCCATTTTGCCCTCATAGTGACAAGAAAAAAAGGCAGTTTTATCAGTCCCGATATTAACATTCTACAGTCTTTTGTGGTAATTTTCCAAAAGAAAACAATTTGTCCATAGCTTAACTAAAGAGACGTGGCTGAGAAAAATAAAGTGGCTGCTACAATACCGTTAAATAATAGTCTTCACATTTTGAGTTCATATACCTGTGCGTAAAGGCAGAGCATTACGCGCGCGATGGTTTCCTCTTCATCCTTGGTTAGACTCCTCCAGTTCAATCGTAGTTTTTACATAGTTCTCCGCAGTCAGGTGGTCAGTAAACCTCTTAGTTTCTCCTCTGAAAGTTAGGATCAAAGTGGCAGGGTGGATAATTCCGTGTTTCACCCCTGCGCTCCACAATCTGTTTCTCACATCCCGAAAGCTGGCTCGTGCCTTGGCAGTCTCGGCTGTGAAGTCGGGGAAAATTCGCAGCTTCATCCCATGTATCTCCAGAACTTTCTCCTTCTTCGCGATGCGCAGAATCTCTTCTCTCACGGCCAGTCGATGCATCCTGACGATCATGGCCCGCTGACCATATTTATTCACAGGTCCAACGCGGTGCGCAACTTCAACCTCGGGCTCGCGCGGCAGCTTTCCCTGGAACATCTCATTAAACAGAGTTGTGACGTAGTTCGTCGGATTCCCCTTCTCAACCTCTTTAACCAGGCCAAGAATTCGGATGTTGTATTTCCGACTCTGATTTTCCAAACGCTCAGTTTTCTCACTCAGATACTTATTTTCTTGTTGGAGACGTTCATTTGCCATCTCCAGCTCTGAGACTCATATAGGTACATATAGACAGAGACACAGGTACATATACGTAGACAGAGACACAGGTACATATACGTAGACAGAGACACAGGTACATATACGTAGACAGAGACACAGGTACATACAGACAGAGACACATCAGGGCAGGGCAGACAATCAGGGGTAACAGGACAGGAAGTCAAACTGAAGACTGAAATGAAACCAAATACAGAAATATAGTCCACACCATGACAGGCGGAGGACCCTGACCAGCGTCTTATAAAACAGTTCGCTAGCTGTGATAGGAGGTTGGTTACCAAGCAACCAGAAATACAACATCAGAATTTTGTTCAAACATTGAACATGAAAAATAAAGGATAATTTCATTAAGATAACGACACAGAAAAAACAGGAGCCTCAGACCTGTTTGTCTTTGAAGCACTGGATCTCATGATGGTTCCCAAACAGAGGACGTACGGCCTGTCGCAGCCGCTCCACCTGGTACACATTATCATTTATACCAGAGAGAGAGCCGAGAGAGAAAGACCAGAGAGAGACCAGAGAGAGAGACAAGAGAGAGAGACCAGAGAGAGACCAGAGAGTCCAGAGAGAGACTAGAAAGAAACCAGAGAGAGACACCAGAGAGACAGATGTTATACTAGTGGTATGATGTTGTTGAAGTACACGTGTGAGGAACCAGGTGAGTTGCTTTCAGTCAGAGACTGACCTCATACGTCTGGTCCCAGGACGGAGTGATGTTCGCTCTGTGCAGGACTCTGTAAACACACATGTAAGTCACAAACCAGAGAGACAGACCAGAGAGACAGACGAGAGAGACCAGAGAGAGAGACCAGAGAGAGAGACCAGAGAGAGAAACCAGAGAGACAGACGAGAGAGAGACCGGAGAGAGAGACAGACAGACAGACCAGAGAGACCAGAGAGAGAGACCAGAGAGAGACCAAAGAGAGAGACCAGAGAGAGACCAGAGAGAGACCAGAGAGAGACCAGAGAGAGACCAAAGAGAGAGACCAGAGAGAGACCAGAGAGAGACCAGAGAGAGACCAGAGAGAGACCAGAGAGAGAGACTGGGACTCAGACCTGGTCACGTTGAACTCCTGGTACAGCTGCAGACTCCTGTGGAAGTATCTGGAGGCAGAGTTCAGGCCCTCGACACACGCCGCACACACACCGTGTTTGAACCATTCAGACGTCCTACACCGGAAGAAGAAGTAGTAGTAGCAGTAGTAGTTGTTGTAGTCGGAGTAGTAGCAGTAGTAAAAGTAGCAGCAGTAGTAGTAGTAGTAATAGTAGCAGTAGTTTGTGGTTATTACCAGAACTGGAAGTCTGTTGTTATTTTCAAGAAGGACGGCCAGAACTTAGTCAGGTTTGTCTCCAACTCCTGAAGAAAAGACTAAACAGGTCTGGACCAGGACTGGACCGGGACTGGACTGGACCTGGACCAGGACTGGACCTGGACCAGGACTGGACCTGGACCAGGACTGGACCTGGACCAGGACTGGACCTGGACCAGGACTGGACCTGGACCAGGACTGGACCGGGACTTACCTTGATGTCGGAATAGAACAGGGGCCAACAGTGACAACAGTTATGCGCTTTGTAAGGCCTGGAAACACAATCAAGTCAGGAATAAAGGTGGACTAAAGCAAGACTAAAACAGGACTAAAACAGGGCTAAAGCAGAAATAGATCAGGACTAAAGCGGGACTAACTCAGGACAAAAGCAGGTCAAAAGCAGGTCTAAAGCAGGTCTAAAGCAGGACTAAAGCAGGACTAAAGCAGGACTAAAGCAGTTCCAAACCAGGCCCAGCTCTCACCAGAGTCCGTGGATGGTCCAGTAGTTTATGGATGAAGGGATGTGACATAAAGTCTCGTCGGACAGAAACTAAAAACATAAAGAATTCCGTTTAAACAAAAAAACAGACGATCAGGTGTTTGACCCACGTTCACAGAGACACCACTTCCCTCTAGTGGTGCACACTGGTCATTACAACAACCACTAACCGGTTTGTTTCACCAGTGTCCAGTGACAGATGAACAGGTCTAAGCAGGTCTAAAGCAGGATTAAAGCAAGTCTTAAACAGGTCTAAAGCAGGTCTAAAGCAGGATTAAAGCAAGTCATAAACAGGTCTAAAGCAGGTCTCATTAACAGCTGTGTCTCTGACCTGACAGAAGCTCCCGGGCCACTGCAGCGTGAACAACATGCACTTCCAACCACAGCATATGTCTCCGTCTTTGTAGTCCCGTGTGTAGTCCGATCCGCCATGTTTGTAGTCCATGTTGCTTTGGACTTCTGTTTGGGAAGAGTGAAGGAGCAGAGCGGCCACTAGAGGGAGACACAGCATCTGCGCAAACGCAGGACTATTGACAGATCCATGCAAAGAGCTAATATGAGAAAATGGTCATAAGCTTTAAGGGGCTCACCGTAGTAGTAGCAGTAGCAGTAGAAGTACTAGTACTAAATACAGTAACAGTAGTAGTAGAAGAAGCAGTACTAAATGCAGTAACAGTAGTAGTAGTAGAAGGAGTACTAAATGCAGTAACAGTAGTAGTAGTAGTAGAAGCAGTACTAAATGCAGTAACAGTAGTAGTAGTAGTAGAAGCAGTACTAAATGCAGTAACAGTAGTAGTAGTAGTAGTAGCTGTAGCAGTACTTGTACTAAATGCAGTGACAGTACCTGTGTGAGTCTGGTTATGTTCCACAGAAAGAGGAACAACTGCAGCTGCAGGAAAGACAGGAAATTAGTTTTAACCAAAATAACACACTACTACAACTACTACTACTGCTGCTACTACAACTACTACTACTGCTACTGCTACTACTACAACTTCTACTGCTACTGCTACTACTACTACTGCTGCTGCTGCTGCTGCTGCTACTGCTACTACTACCACTACTGCTACTTTGAGATTTCATAACACTTTTAAGCAACTTTTGTTAAAGTTAAACTCATCATTCTATCAATGTGCAGAAGCCAGTACTTTTCCACTACTTGTTTTGACTATCTCTGCTGGCACCGTGGCAGCTGCTGATTGGAGGACTTCATTCCTCCATGCTGTATAATACACTTGCATTCTGTCGTGTTTGTGTTCGTGCTGTCTCTACCATTGACAATAAAACATGTCTTCTGTCTGAATGAAAGACACGATCCCAGACTTTGTCATCTTCTTCACTACTACTACTACTACTACTACTTCTACTACTGCTACTACTACTACTACTACTACTACTGCTACTACTACTACTACTACTACTACTACTACTACTACTACTACTGCTACTAGTACTAGTACTACTACTACTGCTACTACTACTGCTACTACTTCTACTACTACTGCTACAACTACTTCTACTACTACTGCTACAACTACTTCTACTACTACTGCTACAATTACTTCTTCTACTACTGCTATTGCTACTACTACTACTACTACTGCTAGTGCTACAACTTCTACTGCTGCTACTGTTGTTGTTCAAGAGTCAAACGAACTGCGACATTTTCTTTGTGTTTGATTCAGAGGCACTTCTACAGAAGCCCAGTCACGTCTGCACCTGGACCAGGTCCAGACCAGGTCTATATCAGGACTAAGTTTGGACCTGTTCCAAAATCCAAAGATCTTCTGCCAATAACAAGCCAAGAAAGCAGACATGAACCAGCTTCGGGTAAGAAGGACTGAACAAGGTCTAAACCAGGTCTGAACCAGGTCTAAACCAGGTCTAAACCAGGTCTGAACCAGGTCTGAACCAGGTTTGAACCAGGTCTGAACCAAGACTAAACCAGGACTGAACCAGGACTGAACCAGCAGGTCTGAACCAAGACTGAACCAGGACTGAACCAGGACTGAACCAGCAGGTCTGAACCAAGACTGAACCAGGACTGAACCAGGACTGAATCAGGTCTGAACCAGGTCTGAACCAGGACTGAACCAGGTACTCCAGGACAAGTTTATAACAGTCGTAAGTCACATAAGGCGATCTGTTTATAGCTTCAGCGTAAAGTTCTCAAGGACAGAAACTACTGCTAATATTGATACTACTGCTACTGCTACTGCTACGACTGACACTACTACTGCTGCTACTACTACTGCCAGTACTGCTGCTGCTAGTGTTACTACTACTGCGAACTGCTGCTACTGCGACTACCTCAGTGTTGCACCACAAACAGAAGTTTAACGTACAGATGCTCAGTCCATTCTTCAGCAGAACGGGTATGGACCACTGTAAATCTACCAAGACATGGCCGTCTGCCCAAACTGACAGCACAAACCAGGAGAGCACTGATCACATCTGCAGCTCATCTGGGGGAATCGGTGCAATCTGATTTTTTTTTTAACGGGTGTCGAAAAATTGAGAAGGGTCTGTCTGCGGCTTGCAGTACGGAGGCGTGTCGTGTAGTGACGTCACTACACGACACGCCTACTACATGACACGCCTCCGTACTGCAGGCCGCAGACAGATACACTTGAAAAAATTGGCACGTTACACCCTGGCTCCACCCTCTCCTAAGCTCCGCCCCTCTCCTCTGTTTGGCCCCACCCTTCCCCTAAGCTCTGCTCTTTCTGTTCCACATGGTCCCTGTCCTTAGCCCCTCCATCTCTGTTCCACATGGTCCATGTCCTTAGCCCCTCCCTCTCTGTTCCACATGGTCCCGGTCTTTAGCCCTTCCCTCTCTGTTCCACATGGTCCCTGTCCTTAGCCCCTCCCTCTCTGTTCCACATGGTCCCTGTCCTTAGCCCTTCCCTCTCTGTTCCACATGGTCCCTGTCCTTAGCCCCTCCCTCTCTGTCCCACATGGTGTTGCAGACAGTGGGGGCTGTAATCTGACTGTGGTGTTGTACATGAAACAGAATTCCTCTGGAAAACGTCTTTGGTCCAAAGTTGCTCTTGGGTCCAGATGCTGTTGATGCTGAAGGGAGTGTGTTTTTTGGACCAGTCTGGTTTGGCCTCTGTGGACGTCAGAATGCAACCTTTAAATGAAGGGGGCTAGTGCAGCTAACACATGCACAAAGCTACAGTCTCCCCCGAGGCCACTCGGGGGCCGTTGTGAAAAAGACGGTAGGAGGCATAAGTGATGTCACATGCTTTTCAATGGCGAAGATAGGCATCACTACAGCCATTAATATTTAGTCTGTGGATCATACACATGGTGTGTTGCACATGGTGTTCTGCAGATGGTGTCTGTGGTCGTCAGTCGTGGTTTCAGTCGAACTCCTCAGAGTCTGAAGAACAGAGTTCCAGAAGCTCAGAGACGATTCCAGGTTTAAATATAGACATATACAAATACACGCAATGTGTGTTATTGTAATGTGTATGTGTGTCTATGGTGTGTCTGTGTTTCAGGAGGATAATAATCTTCCAGTTCATATCAAAGGAGGAACAGGAGACATTCTTTTGTACCGAGCCACAATGTCCCTCACACTGGCAGGTTGGATCTGCTACACACAAATACACACACACACAAATACACGCACACAAATACACATATTACACACACACACACAAATACACACATTACACACACACAAATACACATATTACATACACACACAAAAACACAACTTACACACACACACAAATCCAAATCTTACACACACAAACACACACACAGGCAGAAACAGGGACATACACGTTTGTGGGGATGAAAGGACATTTTATAATATATTTATTTAAACCAGGCGTAGCAAAGGGAAAAGAGGACACTGTCCTGCTAGAGCTACACAAATTATATCAATAATCATGAAAAAAATCACAGAAAAAAAATCAATAATATATGGAGGATAGTTTTTAAGAAGATAAATTGTCTCTGCAAACACTTGTAGAGCTTATTCTTCAGTCTATGCCAATTTCTATCACCCCTCGACAGCTTCACTGAATTCAAGTTATTTTTGGTTTCAACCTGCTTCACCGTCTCATTCCTGCATTGTCCTCATAATACACCTGTAATCACCGCGTTCTACGAGAACATTAGATCAAGCAACAAAGGCATTCTTACTTTAGTGACATAACTAATGAGGTGTAACTGGAGCTGGTTGTTCTGGATTCCTCTTTATTAGAGTTGTTAGAGTTAAGTTAAAGTGTTTGGCTAAAGTAACTTGTTAAAACAAAGTTTCACTGAAGTTTTACAGATTTAAGTGAATCTTTCACAACCTCGAAATATCACTGCCCACTATTGCAGAACTTGTGTGCTCTAAGGCAGACATGTCCCTGGTCCTGGTCCTCACCTGGTCCTAGTCCTCACCTGACCCTGGTCCTCACCTGGTCCTGGTCCTCACCTGGTGTCTTCTGTTGCAGGTGCTGCATACTCAGTGTACTGGCTCCTCCGAGCCGCCCTCCCTGAGTAAGCAGAACTTGTTCACCGGGCGAGTTGATACCAGAACAATATCACGTCAGCGAACATCAATTATGATTCCGAAATGAATGCTTTCAATCTCTAACCAAGAAAAACCCAGTGTTCAGCAGAAACACAACTGTCTTTATTGAACCATGATTCACTCTGACTGTGTTTAGTAAAAGATATAGATTTGACACATAACACCAACACCACATTAGCTGATTTAGAACCACAGACACATGCTCAGTGTAAGACCAGATACTTTCGCATTTGATTGAAGACAGACACTCACCAGGCAGAGTTGAGTCTTATCTCCTGGTGTAGCTGGTGCTAGCTGGTTTTAGCATGTTAGCTGGTTTTAGCATGTTAGCTGGAGTTAGCCGATGTCCGTAAATGTAATCCATTTGGTCAAACCATGGATCTTTCATTTCACGGTTGTCACTTTTAAGCTTTTTAACTTTTCTCTGCATTGTGATGTTCGTGGGAATCATTCTGCTCCGTCCTTAGCGCTAGCTCCACAAACACCTTCTGGTTTCTGGTGGAACCATCGAGCTCACGCTGGTGTCCTCTCCTCAAACTGAGGAAGGTGTTGCCCTCATCCAGCGACCAAGGAACTGTTTTCCGTACGGACGTCATGGGTCGAGGCAACGTGTTGTTTGTTATGATATTTGCAACAGCTGAGGCAGCGGCTGCAGAGTGACTGACCGATCAGAATTGACGTTCGCCGACGTCACATTGTTTTGGCGGCCCGGCTAGTGGAGTGAAGTCGGCCTTTACTATGGGTCAGAACTACATAGGGAATGAATGGCAGCACCACCACCGAGGCGTTTTTGACGCTTGTCGTGTGAAAGCCCGAGAGCCGCACGGAACCGGCCAAAGAGCCGCATGCGGCTCACGAGCCGCGGGTTGGCCACCCCTGATAGACCCAGGCAGAGGTCTATCTGCCGCTAACACAAAGTATCCTCCAGCCAGCTCCAGCTCCATCCACACAGAGCTGTTGTTTCGCTTCCATCCATTTTATTTGTTTAAACCAACATATGTTTTCATTGTGAAAATATTTACATTCAGTACACTAATCATTCAGCCAACTCCAGCTTCAGCAGCTTGTAACTCATTCTACATTTCAGTCCAGATTGCGCTACAATCTGTAGATTGACCTTTATGTTCAGTCTGTCTGTGGAAACCACCAAAGTGACCAATCAGGGGCCGCTCTCCCTCGGTCCTCGGTTGCCGTCTCGTTGCTATGCAGAGCCAGCCTCACTTCTGATTGGCTCTTAGGTTCACAGAGCAATCACTAAGGTTTTCTGTTGTACAGTCTGACAGTGTCTCAAGTGGCAGGACGCAGGCTCCCTCTGGTCTCTCTATCGTCCTCTACTTTTGCAAAGTGTGTTGATCTTTTGCAAAGTGTCTGTTAGAAACTGGAGGAAGGTCAGCGCTGGTTGCACAGTGAACTTCTCACATGGATCACAGCTCTCTTTCTGCGGAAACACAACCAGCAAGAGTCTCAGTGTTGGTCTCTCTCTGGTCTCTTATCCCTGGTGTCTCTGGTCTGGTTTCTGGTCCCTGATCTCTCTCTGGTCTGGTTCCTGGTCTCTGGTCCCTGGTCTGGTTCATGGTCTCTCTCTGGTCACTGGTCTGGTCAGGTCCCTGGACTCTCTCTGATCTGGTCTCTGTTCTGGTCCCTGGTCTCTCTCTGGTCTGGTTTCTGGTCCCAGCCTCTGTTCTGGTCCCTGGTCTCTCTCGGGTTTGGTCCCTGGTCTCTGGCCTCTCTGCTCTGGTCCCTGGTGTCTCTCTGGTCTGGTTTCTGCTCTGGTCTGGTCTCTGGTCCAGACCTGGTTTTGGGTTTTCTTCGCCAGCGTGCGAAAAGTCCTCACGAGGTCTCTTTCGTTGATGGTCCACTCCTCCAGCAGAGCCTCCACCTCTTTGCTCATACACTTCAGAGCCGAGCGTTTGCAATCCTGCAGAAGAGCCTGTTAGCTGGACCGGCTAATGCTAATGCTAATGCTAAAGGCAGGACTTTCATGTTGTATTTGAATGCTTTTAACATCGTTTATTGCATGTTTTGTGTGTTGTGGAAATATCGTTGCATTTTAATGTTTTATCTGTTACTGGTTGGGACAGGTCCATACAAGAGGATGGGGGACAAATAGAGACAGAGGACAGAAGAGACAGAGAGGAGAATTAATAGTTACCTATATAACTTAACCTACGCGCCTATTCTACGAATAGGTGCGTAGTCCCTTAGCGGACTTCGCTAGTGGATATCACGTGACCCCCAGGTCACAGACGCCAGAGAGATCAAATAAAAAAGGCTCCAATCACTAGCGACCCTCCTCTATAAAAGCCCCTGCTCCATAGCCGCGCCCCCTCTTGAACTCTGCCAAGCCAGGCTGGCCTGATGGGCTCGTAGCTAAGGGACTACGCACCTATTCGTAGAACTTAAGTTACATAGGTAACTATTAATTCTACGTCATGGTGCTACGTCCCTTAGCGGACTTCGCTAGTGGGACACAACGCGGAGGCCGTAGGAACATGTACTCCCAGCAGGCCAGCGAAGAGTGATTGGAGCCCCGCCCGAGCAAGACCCTTGCAGTGAGAGGACTCAGGGCAGAAGAAAGCAATTGCGTGTTACAGGGCCGCTCCTCCCAAGGACACCCCCAAGTAACACAGACCGAAGGCCAGCCGTAGTCCCAGGACGCCTCTCCCAAGAGCTCCTGACGTGGACTACCTGACTGACCAAAAGCACACACATACCGCACCTGCAGGACGCCTCTCCCAAGAGCTCCTAAACCAGGGCGGACAAGTCAACCGTAGACCCCCTAAGAAGAGGAACCTCACGGTTTCAACTCAATCCGCTGCACTAAGCACGGAATGGGCCACCGACCGGTCCGACACATCCAAAAGATAAGACCGGACGAAAGAGGAGGACGAAGCCCAAGAAGCCGCACGGCACACGTCCTCGACCGAAGCCCCCCTGAGGAGGGCCGTAGAGACCGCCACCCCACGCGTCGAGTGCGACCTGAAACCCACCCTGAGCCTGATACGCCCGCTGCACAGCCGTGGCGACCCAGTGCGCCAGCCCCTGAGACGACAGCGGGGCGCCCCTGTTCTTGGGGCCCAGACACACAAACAGCTGATCAACCAACCTGAAGGAAGACGTCATGGCCAGGTAACGCCTAAGCATTCTGACAGGACACAGAAGGTGCCGTCGCTCCTCATCGAGGGAGGCATGCGGCGGCGGATGGAAAGCCCTAATCCTGATCACTCTCGACCTGAAGGCCGAAGTGATGACCTTAGGGAGAAAAGCCGGATTGGGCCACAACTCCACCAGACCGTCACCCTCTCCAAAGGACAGGAAAGACGCATGGACGGAGAGCGCACACACGTCGCCCGCCCTCTTAGCAGACGCCAACGCCAGCAAGAGGGCAGTCTTAAAAGCCACACACTCGGGACTCGCCTCCGACACCGGTTCAAAAGGCGGGCCCGACAGACCCCTAAGGACCACCCTGAGGTCCCAAACCGGGGGCGTTCTCTGAAGTGGGGGCCTCCTCCTGCGGGCCCCCCGCAAAAAGTGCTTGACCAACGGATGAGAACGGGCCGTGAACCCCCCCGAAACCGCCGTGACCCGAGGTAAAACAGTTCCTGCAGGAATCCCCAGACTCCTTCCAAAGGGCAGCGCCTGGGATCCCAGGAGCGAGAACCGCACCAGTCGCTGAAGAGCCTCCATCTGGTAGTGTAGGCCCTCACAGTGGAAGGCGCCCTCGCCCCCTGAATAGTCTTCACCACCGCCGGGGGAAGACCCAGGTCTACGAGGTTCCGCCTCTCCGCCTCCAAACCCAAAGCCTGCGGCCGATTATCGAGCGTGAATACAGGCCCCCCCCCCCCTGGACTAGAGCCCCCGGCTCGTCCGGGAGGGCCCAGGGCTCCATCACCGCCATTCCCCTCAGGAAAGGGAACCACCGGGCATGTGGACCGTCACCAGGACCACCGACCTCCCCTCCTGTTCGATCCTCCGCAGCAGGACCAGCAGGAGACGACCTGGTGGAAACGCATACAGCAGGCCCCCTGGCCAGGGGTAGTGAGCCAGGGCGTCCACCCCTAAGGGCGGTTCGTCCGCGGCCCTTAAGGCGAACCAGGACGGGCACTGTGTGTTCTCTGCACCGGCGAAAAGGTCAACCACTGGACGGCCGAATCTCCACCAGACCTCCGCAGCTATCTGCGGGGCCAGGCCCCACTCGTCCTGGAGTGGGCCCCCCCTGGACATCCTGTCGCCCCCACGTTCCAGGCACCCGGGACGTGGCGCGCAGCAGCGTCACCGTCGCCATGCGATGGAGAGCTGGGGATCTGGTGCCCCCCTGCCTGTTCAGATAAGACACCACAGTGGTGTTGTCTGAGCGAACCATCACGTGTCTCCCCTGCAGCTGAGGAGCAAAGTGCAGCAGTACCCTGTGTACTGCCTCCATCTCCAGAAGGTTGATGTGGCGGGCTGAGTCCGACCAGCAGCCTCCTACGGAGCTCTGACCGAGGACCCCGCCCCAACCCTCGAGTGACGCGTCCGTGAACACCTCCACGTGAGACACGGCGCAGACCAGAGTCACTCCGTCCCGCAATAGACCCGGAGTGAGCCAGAACGCTGCAGTTTGGGGAACCCAGATCAGCCTCCCCCCGTCCCGGGAGGGGTGAAGCCTGAGGCGTGAGAACCATCTCTGAAAGTTCCTCATGTGGAGGAGGCCTAGCCGCACCACAGCATGAGCCGCCGCAATCATCCCCAGCAGGGACCTGAGGCGCCGAGCGGAGACCCTGGGGCCCGCCAGCACCTCCCTGGCTAGACGGTTAATTTTCCTCCGTCTGTCCTCGGACAATGCAGCACGGAACGTCACAGAGTCTAGCTGCAGGCCGAGATAGATCATGCGCTGAGCCGGTTGCAGCCTGCTCTTCTCCCTGTTCACCACAAAGCCCAGACGCTGTATGTGGGAAAGGACCCAGTGCGTGTGACTCACGGCCACTTCCCTGGACGAGGCCAGTATTAACCAATCGTCTGTATAGGTTAATATCCTTACCCCCGCGCATCTGAGCGGCTCCAGTGCCGTCTCCACGCACTTTGAGAAGGTCCGAGGCACGAGAGCGTAACCGAAGGGGAGACGGCAGTACTCGTAACTCATCTCTCCCACTGCGAAGCGCAGGAACTTCCTGTGTTCTGTTGTATTAAATATAGACTAAAAGCAGATGTGAATTTGATTGACCCGGAATTGAACTCTGTCTCTTTCCCAAGCAAAAAGACCTGGTCTCCCATTGTTCCTTGGTAGTCCAAAAGTGCAGAAATATGAGTTAATGATAGTTAATCTGGGGGGATTCTGCTAATCCTTTTGTTGTTTGAAGAAGGAGGTGGACCTTGAAAAGCCTCCTGTCTTATCTCAAGGAAGTAATATTTCTATAGAATTAGGGAGGGGTAGTGTGTGTGTGAATGATTTCTGTTTTAGGTTTGGCGAGACGAAGGAAAAGGCCGGACCCTGGACCGGAAGCTGCCTGATACGACACGCCCCCTTCTTCCTGGACATCTGCTCTTTTTATGCTTGGGCAGGAGGCTTGGAGTCAGTCAGCGCAGGGCCAGAGAGGGACAGCATAGCATAGTTTTAGGAGCTCTCTTTTGTTTGAATGTTCTGTATCTGATTGTCAAGATAAATTAAATACAGATGTTAAACTTGGAGAATCTTTGTCTGATTTCTGTACCAAATTTTGAACACGTCAGTCAAAGGGAATTTTTGACACCAGTTCCGGAACTATCGCCACGTGAAAATAAGCGTCTGTCAGGTCTATGGAGGACATCCAATCTCCCTGCCTGACACACTCCAGGAGCTGTTTTGTGGACAGCATCCGAAACTGACGCTTGGAAATGCACTCGTTCAAAGTGCGCAGATCCAGAATGGGACGCACCCCTCCTGACTTCTTTGGCACTAAGAAGTAAGGGGAGTAGAGACCCCTGGTGGCGTCCTGTGAGTCTACCTCTACTGCTGCGCCTCGACTTAGCAGAGAGGAGACCTCCACTTGTAGTGCCACTAATGATCCCCGTACCTGAGAGCGTGCTGCCCGCACGCCCCGGAATGGCGGTGGCTTTTGGGAGAATTGCAATGCGTAGCCCCTGCGCAAGGTCTTCTATAGCCACGGATCCGACAGTAAGCCCTGCTCCAACCAGATGCTGTAGAAGTCTGTGAGGGGCGGAACGGGAACTGGAACACGAGACGTCACAGCCCCGCCCTCTCCTGGTGTTCCTAGCAGGGACGGGGGGTGGACGAAAGGGCAGAGGGGCCCCCTGCGTCATTCCGTGTGTGCCGGGGGTGGTCACGTGTCCTGCAGGCCCGACGTCATAAGAATGGGCCTGCTCATGCCATGTGACTCGACTGCTCCGCCCCCCCCTGGCTCTTGCCTCATGGAGGGGGGGCGAGCCCCTGGAGTGGGAAACCCCGTGCTTAGCCTCGTAGCTTAGAGGGGCTAACACGTGTTCGGCCGAAGCACACACACCACTACTCACCAGATCCCTCGGGCTGACCTCTCTCTGGTAGGGCATAGCATGGATCAGAGGACCGGAGCTCGTAGCTCGCGTAGCGCACTGCACACTCTGCTCTGGGGGCTGCAGGCCTAGCGGAGCAACGTTATGGGCCCGGGAAGTAACACAATCAGACACATTAAACATGTTACGTACCCCCAAATGAGACTCAGACAACGAGTACTGATGAAATGCCGGTCGGCCTTTATTGGAAAAATTCTTACCGCCCCGGCCTCCTCTACCATAGGCCGGCGGTGGGTGCGCTGTTCCCGCGAGCCTCCCGTGGCTATGGAGCAGGGGCTTTTATAGAGGAGGGTCACTAGTGATTGGAGCATTTTTTATTTGATCTCTCTGGCGTCTGTGACCTGCGGGTCACGTGATATCCACTAGCGAAGTCCGCTAAGGGACTACGCA